GAGTTATATGGGCTGTCTGCTTCTTCAATTATGCCTTCTTTCAACATCTCTTGTACCTGTCTTTTTATCTCCGCCTCCAAATGTACAGGCACCCGACGTGTTGTAAATATGGTTACTTGTTCGTCCTTTAGTGGAATTTCGTGCTTTACTTTGTCGCGAAATCCGTACGGTTCTCCGTCTCCCGTGAACAGTTTCCCGTACTTTGCACACAACTCGTGAATATTTAGTTTCTTTTCCGACCTGTCTGGTGCTACCCTTATCTCTGCCACTTCACTACTCTCATGTATCGGGAATGCTCCATACTTAGGATTATCTTACCATTCCGTAGGTCGATTATCGCTTTTACTTCTCTCAGGAAATCTGCTACTAATATTGGTCTTGGTAAGCTGTTTGTCACTACAAACTGGAAACTTATCTCCACACTTCCTACCTTTACGTTACTGTTAGACGTGCCCAGAACCTGTAATCGGTGTCCCCCGACGGTTTGAACTGTCAATGTACATGGCACGACTCTCTGACATAGCTCTCTGCTAATCAACGAGATTGCTGCCCCTGTATCAATTAGACACACTAACTCGCGTTCGCTAATGCTTACTCTGGCGTAAAGCGCTCCTCTATCGACTAACGCGACAAACCCCAGATTCCACGAACAGACAAAACCCGAATTATACCTTATCATATACTTGTATCTTTGTCTTATGGGACAGTTTCTCCTCCAATGTCCTGTCCCTCCACAAGCGTGCCATTTATTATTCCTGCCACCAGTTACTCTCATTGCGGCAATCTCACGCTGCAGCTCATCAATTTTCATCTCGAGATCATCTTGCTCCGGACTCGCGCACGCCACCGAAGCTGCTGTTTGCGTCATTAGCTGTCGAGTCACTTTCGGCAATTCATTTATACGCATCGGATGTGGGGCGTTAACCAACTTCAGCTGCTGGGAAATGACGTCCGGAACACTCTCGATGAACTGCGATGCCAACAGCTGAGCTTCAGATTCCTCATCTAAACTCGGCAGCGCGCGATGTAACAGCTTGGTCAACTCGACTGCCAGCACCAGTGGGTCTCCATCTGCCGATAACTTCACCGTCCTGAACTCCTGAAGCGCCTCCTGCCGATCCACTGGGCTGTCCGTGACAAGCCGATCCGTGACCGCCTTCCATGTCCTCACCCTGTCATACACCGCCTTCGCTCGGCCGCGGAGCAGCAATCCCAAAGCCACCGTCTTCTCCTGCTTCCATCCGCCAGCTCCGCCACGGCATCGAACTCCTTCAGAAAGGACCCCACATCTCCATTCTCGAACTCCTTCGGCCACGGTTTCTTCATCCTGGCAGCGACACCAAATGTAGTGAAGGAGAACACAGGTGAGGACAATCAAATTGTATTTATCGAAAATTACAGAGTTAATAAGTAAAATAGAAAATCCATATCGTAAACGGTTAATTTGCAAATCTTCAATCCATCATCAATCCATTGTATGACATTTCACTTTTCATGCGTTTCATACAAATTCCATTGTGTTCCCACTCTTCCTTTCTTTATCTTCCCCCATATTCTGCTGCCAGACATTACGTTTTCACTCGCGTTATACACTACTTATAAGTAGCGCGCACCACAGTAGTAGTAGTAGTCAAGAATGAAATACATTACTTTAGTATAGAGGTAAGACAACAGTCCGCTAAGAGGTGATAGGTAGCTCTGGGTCTGGATCTCCTGCTAGTTATTACTTTTTGGGTTGGTAGCAACATATATGTATGCAAAAGTTGATTATATATTTATATATATGCTTGATAAATATTTACTGAAAAAGCCCAACTCAATTAAACATTCATATTTCACGAAGAAAGATTATTTCAAAGTAATCTATATGTACACGGTATTTTTGTACAATTTTACTGTCTGGGTATTTAATAACGTTCTTGAAATAGACATTCAGAACTGATAGCATGAGAGAAATCGGTCGGAAAAAAACTGTTTGTTTACTTCAACCAAATAGACCCAACGGCTATTTTGGTGATAATTTTATACGGAAAATTAAAGAATTTATGAAATAATATCATTCAAATGAATCACGGACTAGTTGACACAATAAGAAATTTGGAGATAAATAAAGAATTTATGATACTACTCAATTTATCATATGATTCATGACTATGCCACTGATTGAAATATTCGGTTTTGTATGCAATAATCGAAAAATTCAGAAAATCAACATTCGAATTTCCATTCCTTTTCTGAATGAACTTGTTTTAGCTTTACGACAAGAATGTATAGTTGGTTCGGAGAGAAGTTTTCAATGCAGCATTACGAATAAGGAATCAATTAAAGAGATGGACTTCTCATTCTAAGTAGTGTTTTTAAGTTGAGGATAGTTGAATCTTTGAAAAGTGCTCCTGCATAGTAGTTTTTATACCCAAATTTACCCAGGAAAAGCTAAGCCAACAAACTTATGTAATTAACGATATTCTAAAAAACCAAAAAATTAGTTTATGAATATCAAAATTAATGATGCAAGAACCTCTTACGAACAAACTTTATTGATTCCTGAAAATATGACCCATTCAGATAAATTTTAAGATCTACTCTGAATTCATAAATTCATTTATGAATACGATTAAGGTGATCATCAACCATGTGTTCATGAAGCCATTCAAATCAGCAGTACTATCCAATCTTACTTTTTAGAATTATCCTTTCTGAATATCAAAGGAAGGATGGAATATCATCTACAATTTATCACTTAACCAACCATCTGAGTTAACGAAATCGAGTGGTACTTATTTAAAGACAACGGTAAAACATAACTTGTTCGCAACGATGATACTGGTCATTAAAAACTTCAAGCTCTCATACAATGTAAAAATCCATGCATACAATATATCTGATTTTGTTTTCACCTTACTTCAAATTATCAGCAGCTGCTAAACAGTGATCGCCTTTGAATTACATTAGACAGATATTTGAACCGTCATTATTATGATTTGTGAAAATCCCTCAGATTTTTAAGTTTTAGATTACTTTTATCACCATCATACATATAGTTTTTTACTGAATATCCTCCTAACTCTAGTGACATCTTTTTATTCTTAGATCACTATTATTGGTATAATCCTAATTTACAAGTAAACATAAAACGATTAGCTATTTGTATAGAAGTTATAAGGAGATCCGACAAAAGTTTGTTAAGTATTTTCTTCTGCCTTTACTTTAAAGTACATAAGCTGATAAGTTGTGAACAGTCTTTTGACTATCAAATAAAATTAACTTACATGGATATACGCAGAGGGTTTTCAGTAATGAAATGATTAGATATTTATACTGTAGTGAATGAGAATAGGGGTGGGGCAACCGAATTGTATTTAACGAAAAATACAGAGATACTCAGTAAAATCGGAAAACCATATCGTAAATCGTTCATTTGCAAAAGATCAGTTCATCCTATGGAACTGGACTGTTCCTGTTGCCAAACATCAATCCATTGTCACTATTCATGCGTTTCATACAAATTCCATCGTTTTCTAACTCTTCCTTTCTTGATCTTCCCCCCATATTATGCTACCAGACTTTACGTTGACACTCACGTTATATACTACTTATAAGTAGTTCGCACCACAGCACCACAATACTACCGCCACCGAAATTCAGTAATATACGTAAAGTAACGATTTTTGATTATTTTATTAATTAAGCTGTGAAAATCCAGGTTAGCACTAAGTAGTTGAAATAAAATAGGATTTGCCTAAAAAACAATTTACGTATGCTAATCATAATATTACTGAAGTGTTTGGCGACAAGCTGCTTGATTAAATGTTTGATTTACGTTTAGTTCACGATAACATTTCACCACTTGTAGCTTAGCTGACTATGATACTAACTTGTTTTGTTCAAGTACTTCAGTGATTTGTGGGACTACTGAAGTAGTCACTAGCTGAGTTCCTTTTGATATATCTTGAAATAGGAAGTAAGTGTTATTATCCGCAAAAAGGAAATTATTATTAGTTTCGTATGATTTCTTCCAATAGTACTGTGGTGTGAAAATGAACAAGTACAAACAGCAAACTTTTCACGAATAAGTAATGTGCCTACTAGTGAGTAGTTAAAACTAGTTTATAAAATATGGTTCCCTTTTTGTCCAACTTGTGCTATCAAATAACTCGGTGTATACTAGAAATTTATCATTCACTATGCATACAATATAATCAGGGATATTAACGGCCTAATGTTATTCTGTAAGTCAAAGTTGCTAACACAGTAACTGCCCATCAATTTTCTTATGAATAAGCTTTATGATGATTTGCCGATGAGGTATGAAAAGCAACATGAAACTGGTTTTTTCAAGTGGCTTAAGGGTTTCATTGTAACTTGTGAAAACTACAAGGAAGAATGTAAGCATCTCATGCTTCATTTGAAATTTAGCTGACCTAACTGTTCCATATATCAATTTTGTTGCTTGATACAAATGATTCAGTGCGCCATAAAATTGCCTGTTCGAATTGTCTTACTGTATTCTTGAGTACTTCCAACGATGGAAACGCTACTAGAAACCGAATGCCACCTGTCACGGTGGCCATGTTCGAACTTGAACTCGCAGCAGCAATAGCTTAATTACTCAAGCTTACTGTTATCGATATGTTCGTTCTGTGATAAATCATTGACATTAATGTGCAACTGAACCCATACTAATCAGTGAGATCACTTCTAGAACTATTCAATATTATCGGACGACAGGTTCGAGTAGTGCAGTCAGCGCGTGAATGGTATCAATAAACTTCAATCACAATCGATTTAATGTTCTACTAAATAAATAGCCCAATTGAAATAACAATAAAACTATGAGTATGAAAAACGCTGAATTTCTCTATTTTCGATTGCACTAAACTCTTACATTTAGCTAAAACCACTCTGTTTTTAAGTAACTATGGATAGTATATTTTTCATACTAATCATTATCTTTAAACACAGTGTTGACATTGGTGAAAAAAGTTTAGTATTACATGAAAGTGGAAAAAAAATGAATAAATAACATAGACGTGCACAGTGTAACCAATAGAGACTGATGTTGTTGTCCAATAAATAATCAGTGAATAAGGCGGCAGAAATTTCGAAATGTGTCATTCTGACTGGAATTAACCAATGGTAATTGTGATTTCTCTTTTTTCATTGTTACAAGCAAACATGACGGCAATAATGAGATGAATCATTTCAAATTCACTGGTTTTTTCTCTTCCGTCATGAGATTTTGTTGAACATGTTCCAAGAATTCATCCATCAGTGATTTGAGTTGAGCAACATGTTTTGAAGATTCACTATCTGGATCATAAATTGGTTCTTGTTGTTGTGTGTGCCCGTTTTTGATGAAATTCTTACCCCATGCTGTTCTATCCAGACCAGTCCATTGGATAAATTGAATTGCAATGAACTGAGTCATTTCATGATCATCTGACTGAAGACTTAAATCTTTAAGGACACGTTGAAAACTCTCATCTAGTATAGCTATAAACATGCTAACCATGACAAATACAACACATAAAGAGAAAGCAGCAAACAGCAATGGACCCAACACCATTTGTCGTTCATACATACTTGTGAAATCGAATTTCCCCAAAATAATCTGCATACTTGTCTCGATAGCATTTAAAATTGTCTTAAAACCATTTAGTGTATCATTATACAATAAGTAGAAGACTAATACAAATGCAGAAAAGACAACCAAGAAAATAAAACAAAAATATTTTAAATCTGTCGCTGCATATTTCAATACAGATCCTAACAAACCAACTCGTTGATTGAAACGAAACAAGTACACAAGTTTCAACATGGCAAAAAAGCAAATTATAGCCGTTAAATAGGTAAGATTTTCATTCCAATATGCCAATAATTGAAAATTCATGTAAATATTACCATGTGTACGTGAAAATTCTTCAATGGATGATTTTGTCGACAGGATCATATAAATATAGGCAGCGATAGCAGCTATCGAGCCACAAATAATAAATAATTCAACAAAATTCCAAAATTTTGTGAAATATTTCAACCGTTGCCTGAACATATTACGTATTTCTTTAATTAAATAACAAAATAGTATGAATGCAAATAGTGCCTATAGAAAAAAAAAGAAATAATTGAAAAAGAAATATATAAACACAAACGAATAAATTTAGAGCACTTTTTTTCATTGCTTACTTATCTATCAGTTGGTCATTTCACATGCTGTGTGCGCATTATGAAAATTCTAATTTATAATTGAACCTGAGGTGGCCGATGCCTCACTAGTTTCGTGACGATCGGTATTCGATGTGTTCTTAGACTTCGCATGCTGTTCATCCAGACAACTGTTACTACACAGTGTCTCACGGATTGTATATCGGAAGATGAAGTGTTGAATATGTTTATTTGGCGCACCACAATTAGACCACCAAATCACAGGCACATAGAACAAAAATCAATATGTGGATGCCGAAGGGCAAGCAAGAGAATGGGTGCGTTAGCGCATTGGCGAACAAATTAATACGATTAAATTGTACATACATATACATAGAAAATGGATGAGCCAGAGAAATATTTAAGAGGTTAGTCTTAAAGTGGATAGGATTAATATGCGCGTAGGCAATAAGCAATGTTCAGCGTACCAGCTCGTACAAACCAAGCAACAATGAAATCCAATGGTACATATAAGTTTTTAGTTAAACATGTCAATTAAAAGGCTTAGCCAAATCAAGTATGAACAAACTCAAATGTATGTGGAGCTACTACAAACCCACAAATACGGACCTGTATTCCATTCCTGAAGTTTAAATATGTTTTGTTCATGGCTTGGGTTTATTTATAGACGAAATAAGGTTTAATATCACCAGATAGAATCCTATAAGTGTGCTAGACATATATCAAGAGTAAGTTTCAAAGGCAATATTTTCAAAGGCAACTAAATTTATTATGAATATTAATCGTCAGAGACTGAGGTAAAATGTGTGAGCCATGTAAAGAATCTCTGATATCAAAACGTTTTAGTTCTATGACTGAGAAAATCACTGAAACCATAAATAGATCAATGTTAGATAACGATTGAAAATCTGGAAACACTGGACGGCCGTTTCGTTCAAGTATGAGACTCATAAACAGTGAGAATTTACGAAAACACAAGTGGGAATAGAATCCATGACCTCCAACTCGCTCATGAACGCTTAGTTTCTTGATCACTCAGCCGGCATGCAAAGGTGTTGCTATCCAACCTCACTCCATCGACGATAGTGTGCAACCCCATCCATTGTCTTCGGTGGGTAATTACCTCATACTCGATACGATTGAACTTCACTGGTCAAGACAACTAAAGAGAACTCCGAGAATTTACTCACAAGGCTAGTCAGTAGAAAGTATACAATAATTTTCAGTATAGGGTTGTGGAGATTGCTGAGTTTCTTTAGCGACAAACCTTAGAGGCATCACTCTACTATTAATACCAGGAAAATTCATCGACAGAGTGTTGCTAAACTGAATGAAAGTTTCAGTGGACACCTAAATTCGGAATCAGAATACTGGATTCCGTAACCATCGATCATGTATCGACCAAATCGCCGCACTACAGATCGTCGTAGACCAATCAACTGGATGGAATTCTCCAATGTGCATCAACGTCCTTGACTATGAGAAAGCGATTTGGAGGCTGCTTCGACGCTACAGTGTACCTGAGAACATGGTCAACAGGATACGGAATTATTAAGATGGGATCCCTTGGAAACTACTGCTTGGAGGACAGATCACACACTCACTGTGAGTGAAGACCAATGTCAGACTAAGTTGCTTACTTCGACTTTCTCACTTCCCACAGGTGGTTGGCTGCATTACGAAGACGTCATTACCTCAGTGGATTACACTGGACAGGTCGGGTGCAGCTGGACGATTTGGACATTGCAGATGATCTGACTCTTCTGTTCCACATACCATAACAAATACAGATGAAGACGGTCATTGTGGCGGCAGCCTCTGCAGAAATGTCTGTAGAAGTAGTTCTCGACATACACCTGGGAAGAAGTAACATCCTCCCACACAGCTCAACATGCGTAAATCAAACCACACTTGATGGAGAAGCTCCGGAATATGTGGAAACCTTGACATACATGTGCAGCATCACTGATAAACATGGTGGATCCGATGCAGATGTGAAGATACGGAATGGTCAAAGTGAGGGTAGTATTTCTACTAATTAATAACATCTAAAACTTAAAACGACTGTCAACCAACACCAAAGTCACAATTTTCAATATGAACGTCAAGATAGTTCTTTTGTATGGAGTGGAAATTTGGAGAGAGAGGAAAGCCATCCTCCAAAAGATATAGGTGTTTATTAGCATTTGTCTACTCAAGATACAGAGGATCCGTTGACCAGACACCATCAGTAACAACCTAGTGTGAGAGAACAGAGCAGCTTGCAGCTGTGAAGACATTAGAAAACGGCTCTGAAGGTGAATAAAACATACTGCGGAAACCACTCAACTGTCTCACAAGGCCAGTCTTAACTTGGAACGCTGATGGCGGAAGGAGAAGAGGTAGATGGAGAAACACACTGTTGAAAGAATCAGAGACAGACATGAAGCTAAATGAAAACTGTATGATTCTAATGGTCTCTAAAAGTCTCTAAAATCCTGTAACTTCATTAATATGGTTGTTGTGACATTCAATGGAGTTCAGTTTATTGTCTATGAGTCAATTCAAAGGCTAAATCCACCCAAATATAACAAATGTTATCCTATTTTATTATAAGGGGTTCTTAGGACTAATTTTGACTGCAGTAACCAGGACAGTATTAATCATACGAAGAATTTAATATATTTACATCGAGGACGAATTCCAACATAACAACAAAAAATCAATACCATAAAATCGATAGATCATAGTTAACAGACAGAATCAAAAGTAGTTTCGTCTTACATTCCTTTTTCACTAACCATAATCAACAGTGAAACAAATGATGCTTTTAAAATATTATCTGTTGACTAGAAATACAAATAATTTCCTCAGAAATTTTATTTAGTTACATATTCAGAAAGAGGTTTGTTTATAAAGGGCAAATAGATTTCAGTCATTTTGCAGTTCCGTGAAAGCATATTCAGAAAAATTGCAATATTCCCGCATTGTTGATCATTCATGTACAAGATTACTCCATACCAATTTCATATTTTAATCGCTTTGGGAGAAAACTATTTGTATAAAATTGCTTGGTATAACAGTGTATTTCACTCATAGTATTTAAGTTGAAGTATAAGAGAACAGATACTCTCATTGTTAATAGGTTTAACTGACTTGCATGTATTAAAGACCAGCTGTACGTCAACACCATATTAAGTTGTTCATAATACCATATTTTAGGCATTCATTCAGACACTGGTCACTACTCGGTGATCATTCAGCTGTAAATACATATCATTCCTGCAGGAAGTCAGTCAAGAAATGAATAGCTCAGTGGTATCTGTTTGAAACGAGATCGAGTCAACCAAGAAGTACAGGTTCTCTCAAGATTACAGATATACCTTACTGATGAGGGGTAAATAGCAAGAAACCCAGGTTAAGGGTTCCCTGTGGACTTCCTCCAACTACCACCTTACATCTAGATGTGTTTTTTTAACTGAACAAACTTTTATCTGAACTATTCCAACAATTATTCAGAGATAGAGTTAAGCACACAGTTAGCATTAATATATTTTGATTCACATTCTAACAGATGTCGATCAAATGGAGTTCTAAATATATAAACTTTGAAGCAGAAAGCCTTTATTGTGACACATTGCAAACAGAAATGGATAGTGGCTACCAGCGGAACTCATTTCGTTCATCTCCTCTTATAATGCTTGTGACCTGATTGGTATGTTGACACAATCCTCACAGGATGTACATATGCCAAAGAAACTGATTAATCACAGTACTAACTTTCAACGGGGAGATTCAAACTACCAATACAAATGAACTCTACTGACACAGTTCATTTGTTGAATGGAACTAAGTGACTGGATAGTAAACACTATTACAATCAGTGAATGTCTCAAATATAGATTTCATTCAGTAGAAAATAAAGCATTTCAAACTAGAAATTTTAGACAATCATATATATGACTGGATCTAACTTACGGATGAAATGTTCTAACTGAACTCAAATGGTTCTAGTTATCTGAGCTCTTTTTCTTTTGTCTACAAATCAGTGAATTTTGTCTGGAGTTCACAATCACTACCTAAATGTTAATGTTAACTTTCTATAAGATCATTTAATGTAGACTAGGTCTTGCTCAACACTGAAGACAGGTATTCACAAAAAGGAAACCGACAAAAACAAATTGGCAGCTTAAAGTTTTTTCCATAAACCTTTGTAATCAATGCCCTATGCAAGAAAGCGAATCAGAGTAAATTGATGATTTAAATGAACATTTAAAATATGCCTACCTGAGATGTGAGTTGTGCAACTTTAGTTTCAGAACCAATAACGCCGAATAAATTAGCCGTTTCAATACGATATGATGGTATCATTGCTCCAATACCAGGCATTTCAACTAGAGCAGTTATAATAGCGAATAGATTGATATTAGGATTATAAACTGTAAATTGTACTATAATTGCCCGTGTAGAAAATTCGATCCAATGAGTGTCATTTAAATAACTCATCTTGTCTAACATTTCATTCTTTGAACCTCTTAGTAAATGAACATATCCACCACCAGAATACCATGCAATCTGTCCTAAATATGGATAACCTTTTAACCGTGATGAATTCTGATAGACAAATTCTGGTGCAGAATTATTAGACTTATCATCTCCTTCAAACTTAACCCATGAAATCCCATACGTTTCTTTGTCTTCATTAAACATATCATAACTTCCGTAACAATGTTTGAATAGATTTTTTGCAAGTTCGTGGACGTTGCATGAATCTGCTCAAAAGAAAAGAAACCGTATAAAAGATATACGTAAGGTAAATAAACATTTTTGAGAATTAGCAGATGATGATAAGTTCTCTACTTACTTAAAGTGTCTAAAAAAACTTCAGAAGACACTAACGATTGTTTTTGAGTAAAATAATTCCCAATAACACCAATTGAATAGTTTGTAGTTAACAAATTACTTAAAGTCTCGTCAGATTTTTCAGGATACAAAATAGTAACATCAATCTTTATGAAATAAATAAATATTCACATGTTGAAATCGGAATTTTTGTAATTTGACTAAGCTGGTGGTTTCCAAGAAAGAATTGAATAACACTGATGAATACTTGTCATCACACAAAATTAATTTACAGATAAGAATTCCTTATTGTTTTCTTAAAGATATTTTGATTTTAGATGATGACCTAATCGTTTCTTCGAACCATAAATTTACGCATTATCAAGTATAACAAGGATCACTAGACTCGTTAAGTTATCATAAAAAGATAGTTCGCCTATGCATTACTTTACTTACAGAATGGTTACAATTGTTATAATGTAACCTTCAATACTGACCAGTGAATATTGATCAAAGAATGGAACTGAACCACCTAGCTGAGTGACAGTACATTACAGTAAATCAACACAAAGTGTGAATACAAGTTCTCAGTCATCAACAGCATGTGAATATAAACTTGGAAAAACAAATATTTTTGGGAACATTATTACCTTATTTAGTGGTATATCATGAGACATTGTCATTGATTTATTTCTTGTGTAGATATATTTCATTCATTTAACTGTTATTGACGTTTTAGTCTAATCTTCAATATCATTCAAAATTAGTTAATTACTGAATGTAAAATCGAAAATACTCTAATTAAGTCGGCATTATGATACACTAAATTAAGGGTATTATTATTTACAAAAATATGAACGCAATAATCAGTAGATAATTTAACTAATAATGAACCATTCTTATGTAAGATGAAGAAGGTTGTACATGTGTAAATACCTTTTTTGGTTCGTAGTTGTCTCATCATTCCATATCCAATTATTCGATCGGTTCTATCTCCTAAGAAACCACGTTGAAACAAAGGTGGATTGCGATTGTACCATCTTTCTACACGTAAACCAGGAATTAGAACTTTTTGGGCCCATGTATAGAAATCATTCACATCACTCATCTGTCAAAAAAAAACGTATTCCCTCCGAAATCAAATGTGCGTTAGTTAAAAACCACTAGTTTATTGGTAAGTAAACATTTTATAAATACTAATACGAATAATTTAAATGACACCTCTGAAATTTAGATTATTAAACAAACTCGATTTGAAATCAACGTTTGGTTTCGTTGTGTTGATCGCTTAAAAGACCAAATATAGATTTATTTTCGATACATAGTAGAGGATATGAGCACATGCTTACTTACTTACCAACAAAGTAATTTGAAAATACTGTTTCTTTAAAAATGAATTGTTTCGGCACAGCTAGACAAAATTTCTGAGGTAGTTTTTATATATACTCGGTATCAGAGCCAAATAATCGAACATATAAGAACTGAAAAGTGTAGTTAACTTATTTCATAATACATATTGGATTTCACTATATATATATTTTATAATCTTAAAGTTTGATTACAAATTACCAATCTCTACCATGTGTCGATTAGGTTCCTGTTTGACTGGAACTGATTTTCATTTTTGATAAAAGGTGTTAACAGAAAAGGACTTGCTACGTCTTTATTATAGGAATGATCGCATTCGTTCGAATGTAATTTTTGTAAATGAACCAGAATTGTTTGCAAAATCTAGAAACAGCTCTTTACTTGTTGGTTCGAGGGCGATTGGACGATACCCAGCGTTGTTTGTGGATGAATAGTTCCACATTTTTCTTTATCGCTTGATATAAATGACTATCACAAATGATGGTATATGTAGATCTTACAGATGCCTGGAAGTTATAATGACTAGCCCAGTGAGTAAACTGATTCCACTTATTGTCCATCTGATACTCACTAGTTACCGTACTAATCTGAACTACTGAAATAATTAATATCACGTAAAGGCATTCGGATGATGAATGCTTTATCTCGGAGTAGTAAAACTAATTACTTATTTTACCTAAAAGATTTTATTATTTGCTTGAACAGTTTGTGAAGCCTAATCAGAATTACAAAATGATTAACTGGACTTAAAACAGCTTTCAGTAAGCTAGAAAGTACTTACACTTTGAAATGAATCTGGGAAGAACAAATTTTGTAGATTGGATTTCAAGCGAAATCCATTGGAATCACGGAAATCTAAGCTGACAATTAGTAGCAGAGTGAGGAAGAATATGTAGAGTATAACTTCACGAATGATATCATTAGCTCTTCGTTGTTTCAGTCGATAAGCTCGAGCACGTGCCAATTCTGATGGATCTGGTGGCAAGATTGCCAGACGTTGTGGACGAAAGTCATCAGTTACTAAACACAAGAAAAAAAGTTTAGTTACCTGATGAAAAATAACTTTTCTTAAAATTCTTATTTGGGTCATACTTTACTTTACTTTACTCATAATTTGTAATCAACCATTGAAGAGGAATCTAATATAATGCGCTGAGTTACTCGAGAGTGCTGTTAATAATAAATATATACTGACAGGCACTTAAACAAAAGTTATGTCCCGAATATCCATTTACTTCCAAAGAATGTCATCAGTCAAAGTTGATCTGATTCGCATTCACACAGAAGCAGGAGTTATCGATGTTTTCCAGTATTTCATTGACGACAGTAAACTTTAGACATGTGAGATGCAGTAAAATATCTCCCTCTTAATTGCATTTGGCAGATGAAAATGGATTGTATCTCTAGGAATCGACAGTACAACAGATAGATATGTATTTCAGAATTGTATAAGTCGAACGTCATCAATGTTCATAAAAATGCTTTTCTTTGTATTTTTTCCATACCGAAACAGCTACTGCCAATGATAGGAACTTTTCGCGTTCCAATCCACCAAGTGCCTGCTTCACTTACTAAGTGTATTAGTCACTTAGCAAGACACACAAAACTTAAGCCGACTAGCAAGTGTATTAAGAAGTACCATATTTATCGAAATTGACTGTGATCACAGTAAAAAAAAAAAAGAATCAAACCAATCTATTTCACATACAATAGTTATTATTTAAGTATTCTTCATCCATTCGAAGTTGGTACCGCTTTCTTAACGTTGCAATTAATCGATCTTCTTCTTCAAAAACTTCTAATTGATCTACTCGATCAGTTGATTTACAAACGAACGAAAAAAACACAGCTATCAGTAGTACCTGATGAAATAACCGGAAAATTAGAAAATGTTTTATCAATCTAGGTAATGCACATTTAATGTGATAAATAATAATCTTGCTTATCATCCTTAATATAATCATCATCCTACTATAAAAATAGTTTAAGATTAAATTTGAAAATTTCAATTTAAAATTACAGTCTAGTGAGAATAAGAAGTAAAATCACTTCAAGGAATATATGAATTCTGTTACATGAATCTTTTTGATCGATACCCGCTTATATAACCGGAAACTCTGAGTAGCAATTCGGATCATATCAAGCTACAAACAATCATTTATTTGAGCACATCTTTCATAAAGCATGCACCTACTTCAAATGTAAAGGATTTTATTGAATTCCTTCAAAAAAAAAATTGGTACTTTTAAATTCTGTTATACATCCTAGTGATAAGGTGTAATTAAGCCAGTGATCATTCGCAATTGATAAGCTGTTGTAGAAAAAAAATTAAACTCAGTAATATTCACCAGGTAAAATTCGACTCTGTAAATTAATTAACATTGCGAAATTAGACAATATACTATGTATTTAAAATCGTTTTCTTGTAGACGAATAGCGAAATGACCAATGATCAGATGCATAAATATATTGCAAAACTTTTGATGATGATTAGATGGTGACCAGGAATCTATTTTTCAGTGGTGTTAACGACACTAAATGTAATTTATTATATCAAGAAATATGACAACCAATAAGCATAGAAAAGTATTCAGTTTATTCTTTATGGTGAGTTATTTTATTGGAAAATACTATCGTGTATTATGCTTGGGAAATGATGGACAAATTGTGAATTATGATAAGTATATGACAAACTGAAACTTCGGGCATCTAGATTAACTCATTTATATGGACTGCCAAAAGTACACAAACTTGATATTCCCATCAGACCAACTTGCTCGAAGTTATCTGTCTATCATTTGAAAGACACTTCATCACTGTTCACTGTAATCCAACTAGAAATCATGTCAATTATATCTTAGCACACTCAACTACTTTCTTTACCGATAGATGAATTCAAATAAATTCTATTGTTGTGCATTAAAGACGTTCAATTTCAATTCCATGATATTCTATAGCTCAAGTTGATAGAGTGGCCATGTGCAGTCTCCACTGGGCTCAGTCATAGCTGATGAGCTTTGTGGCGAACCTAGAACAAACGGTTTTAAAATTGTCAATTAATGATGCGACTTTGTATGTGAGCTATGTGGATGATACAATTGTCGTCTGTAATAATTCTCAATAGACTTCTTGTATTTTCGAACTTTTGAACAGAGCACAGCCTAAAATTAGATTTACGATGTAATGCGAACAAGATGACATTTTAAATTTTCATTTTATACTGTAGTGGAACGCTTCTACGAAGAAAATGCGATTTTTGAAATGTAAACATTACTGTACTCGTTTTGTTTAACTGTACCAAAAACACTTCTACTCCTTCTTGCGCGCAACGTTCTCTTCGCGTTGCCGCCATCTTTCTCTATTTGCTGCTCCCTATGTAATGCCAACGTTCTCCTTAAATAAACAACTGAACTATGGATTTACTTTGTTTTGCTTTTCGTGACGCGACCGTATGGAACATTTAGTGGTGAGCATAGACAATCAGGTATCTGGATTCGCTCACAACAATTGGTGAGCCCAACGTTTCTTCAATACTAAAGGCAATGCTCGAAAGAACATATCCAACGACGACATTGGTCTCTCTGTACCAAACTAAATACTTATTGAGACAACCAAATGTGAACAAATACCCGCCTCATGTTGCCTCCAATTGTGTTTATCAATTTACATGTTCGTGCATAATTGCACCGATTAGAAAAACAGAAAGGAGTGTTTTTGCACGCATCTCTGAACACATTCCTGAAAAGTTGAAACGCAACTGACAGAGCAGTTGCTCATTACCTGTGGTCAAGATATCGAAGTCTCTAAATCTTAAAATAATCCGTCAACAAAGAAATTCGAAATTTTCACGCGTTGTTGAAGCTGTTCTAATAAATAGATTTCAAACGAATTTATCTATCTAAAATAAAACTTTCTTCAATCTAATTTTTTATTAAGATTGCTTATTTTTTTTCATAAAATTTGATGAAATTTTTAAGACCTTAATTCTTACTTCTGAGCTTTGCTCAACTATTCTACTATATTACGGAAATCTAATGTCTGTTTCGAAAATGTTTCTGGTTTACATGCTCTTCGAGAATATTCGGATATTTCACTTATAAATTAATGAAAGTTTGAACCATTTTCATTCTTCCATATCATATGATCTTTGAAGATTATTCTATTTTTACATTTTTAACTCGTTATTGATGATATTTTCGATGTAAATCAGGTACACTTGTTTCATTTTAATGATGAAATCTATGGTTTTAGGTTGTTAGCAGATGAGGCGAATCCACCAAACTAAATGAATTCATGTTATTTTTATATGAATTTTGTGCTTTCTTTATTCAAATCTATTTGGATAATTATTTTATCGCCTACTTCTATAATTAGCCAAATTTTCACAAAACCAATCAGGATCACGGAATATGTGCTTACTAATCTGAATGCATAAAATTACAACACAGTACATGATACTCGTTAATATAAGTAGTTGAGTGCTAATAGTACTGATATCCAACCAACTTTATTCAAGCTTATTCAACTGATTAATAGTAAAGAAAGTGAGGATTATGATAAAATAATTGACTTCGAGAAAACCCAACGTATATTGTGCTTTTTTTGAATGTTCGACATACAGCTCCACTGTTTGGTACTACAGACAGAGTGAAAGATTAATACAGTAATTACTGCCCTTGGTAAATTTGGACAGTGTAATAATAAGAAGACGAAAGATTATTGTCTGACCTACTACATTCACTGCTATTTTCAGTTAATAATTTGTCATCTGATGTGACTCAGCCAATAAAGAGACAACTCAAGGCTCATTTCACTGTGATACATTTGACAGCAGTGCTTATTAACAAAAACAGGTGAAGTACACATCATTTAACTGACTAAGGAATATCAGTCACAGCAGTTCTAATGTTTTAGGGAAGTTCAGGTTTCATTTAAAAATACCTTTATAAGGTGACATACGTCCACTTACTGAAACATTTTATAATAGTTAAGAATCAACAAACAAAAAATATTTACTAAGTTAAGGAATGTAACGAAGCATACCTTTATTGGCTGGGCGAGAAGTATACTTATGAAGAATGATAGAAACAATGATGACAACCATTTTTTGCAAGTGGCTTCACCGAACATCACACCATAGAATGTTGTAAAAGCGACAGCTATACCCAAACACAGGATAAGGAGAAACCAAGCGAGAATACGCATTTGCCATCCACAAAACAAAGTAAATCCCTTTTGTTTAGTTTTAGCATCGTCAGAATTTTCAGCCAACGCCTCAGGACTATGCCGGAATAAATAAAAGTAAGACGAAAGTTAACTTTTGTTATATTAACAGAACATTTTGTGAATTCCATTATACTGCCTTAGATGCTTTCAATTGCTACACTTAGTAAATGAAATGTATGTGGACAATTTTTACAAAAAGTAACATTATCTAGGATATTATTCAAAGGTGCGTGAGTATGTAACAGTTATTCTCGTAATTCTTCAAACTCAGACTGGTAGAATTTTATAAGTCGAAAGTCTTTGTAAGCTAATGAGGCACTTAAAATCATTGACCTATCCCATCAAGTCTGATAACACTTCTCTGTGTTTTGTTCGACATCACTGCACTTTGATCTCCTACTAATGGGCTGTCAAACTTGACTTTTAAATGAGTTGTGTATGCTTGTTTTTCACGAAACGTCATAATAAGACTTTATTGTATTTTCAGTTGATATTGATCTTTGAACTACAATTTCGCATCAACTAAACTTTTCTTCCTAGAAAATCAACTATTCGTAACTATACAGATATCATTTACTACAGATAGAGCAGAGAAGCAGATGCAGAGTTTAGTTCTATCGAACGCTGTTCAAGAGATTTGTGATGTTGGATATCAACTCGGTGTCTGATTGAAGTTATACTGTAGTGAAGGAGAACATAGGTGAGGGTAAACCGAATTGTATTTATCGCAAATTACAGAGTTAATCAGTAAAATAGGAAAAACCATATCATAAACGGTTAATTTGCAAATCTTCAATCCATTGTCTGACATTTCACTATTCATGCGTTTCATACAAATTCCATTGTGTTCCCACTCTTCCTTTCTTGATCTTCCCCCATCTTCTGCTGCCAGACATTACGTTTTCACTCGCGTTATATACTACTTATAAGTAGCGCGCACCACAATACTACATTGTTTAACATGATAAATGTTGTAACGGTTGCTTACGATATTTCCCGGCTAAATCTTATTGCTTAGTATTCTTGACACAAAACACTGACCAGTAACACAAATCGGAACACGGTTGAACAGGAAGGATTGTATTCCAAAATAACAAAGAAAAGAAGCTGGAGGTGATGGCGAAAGCCAAGGCAAAAAGGCAAGAAGGCGAAGAAGGCTAGAAGGCTTGAAGGCCAAAGATAAATCTAATGCTAGTCTATTTATAGCCTTTACATGAGAAAACTTCTGGAAGAAAATTCACGTGATCGACTGGGCTGGATTTGACCAATCAGCATGCAGCTAATAATACGAGAATTTTCTATCCTGTTCTCCAAGCTTCGATCAGGCGCTGATTGGATAGGAAATTAGCCAATCAGCGCGTAGTGGCGTAATCATGCTTTAAATCCATCTATGTCCCACTAACACCTCCCCTTTGAGAAGATTCGTAGGATCTGGTGCTAGGGTCCAACTGCAACCGAGTGACTGGCTTGTACTTTCGATTACTCCATCTTCTCGGCAATAACGAAGTTGTGTCACTCTTTGCTTGCACAGAAACTGACTTGTGTGTTCCAGGCGTTTTGATTTCGAAGGTGTCTAGCAGAACGTCGAGGGGTATTCTGTGCCGAGTCCCGTTGCTGGCTATCGAAGTTGCTTTCAGTTGGTTAGCATGACGTACCCAAACTTCTGAGCCAACTGACACCTCATAAGTCACATTCCCTTTCTTTTTTAAAATCCGACCAGCTGTCCATGCAGGATGTTTTCCACGATAGTCCATTGCAAGTACTTTCTGGCCCACTGTGAACGATCGTCTTTTTGCCCCATGGTGTCGATTGAACTGCTTCTCCATCGACAGGTTTCGCTGAGGCTCAAGAGCTGGTGTAGGACGGATGACATCAAAATGTGTTCGTAATTTTCTACCAAGTAGAGCTTCCGCAGGTGAGACTCCGTCAATCGTCTGAGGGTTCGGTGTAGAGCGATAAATAAGCAGGAACCTCTCTAAGATCTCTTCGGTGGTCCCCTCCCCTTTGGATTTTTTTAGGGCATTTTTAAATGTGCTCACAAAGCGTTCTACTTGGCCATTTGATTGCGGATGGAATGGAGGTGTTCGGACGTGACAGATTCCGTTCTGCAGGCAAAATTGCGAGAAGACTGCGGACGTAAACTGTGTCCCGTTGTCAGTAACTATCAATTCCGGGACTCCGAAACGACTGAATAGTTTACGTAATTTACTGACTGTACAACTTGCAGTTGGGTGTTTCATCAAGAAAATTTCTGGCCACTTACTGTATGCATCAACTACCAGAAGGTAAGTTTGTCCATGAAGTGGGCCAGCAAAGTCCAAATGTATACGCTGCCACGGTGACTGTGGTATTGGCCATGATTGCAACTCTGCTTTGCGCGGTGCTTTTGCTGCTAATGCACATTTGGTACACGAACGGGATAGCTGCTCTAGCTGGGTGTCTAAGTGCGGCCAGTATACATAACTTCGTGCTAGTGCTTTCATGCGATTTATTCCAGGATGTCCCACGTGCAACTGTTTTAGCACTGCTGGTTGTAGCTTCGCTGGAATTATGACCCGTTCGGCAAACAGCAGGCAGTCGTCGATGATTGAAAGGGAGAGTCTACGCTGGTAAAACTGTTGAAGCTCTGAAGAGTTGATCTTCGAAGGCCAACCTTCCAGGTGAAACTTTTTAACTTCTTGTAGAAGTGGGTCTCGAAGAGTTTCTTCTCTGACTTCCTCTGACGACACTGGAGTGTTTCGAATGGCGTCTGCTACTACACTCCTTATTTCTGGGTCTACTGCTGTTGAGGCAATGATTATGTCCTCTGGTTCAGGATGCTGAACCCCAATTAATCGAGAGAGAGCGTCCGCTTGACCGATAGTATTTGTCGACTGATACTTGATATTGAAATCATAACTCAGGAGCATCGTTGCCCAGGGCTGTAATCTATTAGCCGTATAGACAGGGATTCCTTTCTTAGAACCAAAGATTGCAATCAAAGGTTTGTGATCTGTCAGGAGCGTAAACTTACGACCATAGAGCATTTTATGAAATCTTTTGACAGCGAAAATAATTGCAAGAGCTTCTTTCTCAATTTGACTGTAATTTCGCTCGGCTGGGGTGAGAGATCTGGCAGCATGGGAAATTGTTTTCTCTGATTTATCCGGAAACACATGAGATATTACTGCTCCAACTCCATAACTAGAGGCGTCAGAAGCAACAACAATTCCCAAGCTGGGGTCGAAGTGTGTCAAAAGAAGCTTTGAGCTGAGCATCGACTTGACTTTATCGAAAGATGCTTGACATTCTGTTGACCACTGCCAAGGTTTAACTTTTGATAGTAATTCATTCAAAGGACCTCTCACTCGATGCATTTCAGGCAGGAATGCGCTGTAATGACTGATTAACCCCAAGAAAGATCTTAATGAAGAGACATCAGTTGGTGCAGGCATCTTCTGAATGGCTTCGATGTTGGCTGGGTCTGGTCGGCGACCGTCCTTATCTAAGATGAAACCAAGGTATTTGATCGAATGCATGAAGAAGATACACTTTTCTTCACGTAGTTGGAAACCATACTCCAACACTCGGTTAAGGACTTGATGTAGTCGATCTGACAGTTCACTGTCACTTGAACCCATAACTATGATATCATCTAGATAAGCTGCTGTCCCAGGTATACCTGTTAGCATCGTATCCATTATTTGCTGAAAGATAGCCGATGCGGTCTTGATGCCAAATGGTAGACGAGTGTATTGAAATAGCCCTCGATGGGTGTTAATAGTCAGGAGCTCTCTACTATCTTCGTCTACTTCTACTTGTAGATAGGCATCGGAAAAGTCTATTTTCGCGAAACATGTACCACCATTAAGCTTGGCAAACAGATCTTCAGGAACTGGTAACGGATACTGATACACATCCAATGCAGCATTTAAACCAGTTGAGAAATCGGCACAAATGCGTATAGTTCCATTAGCTTTCTTAATCACTACGATCGGTGCGGCCCATGAAGAGTAGTTGACTGGTTGGATTACCCCGGCCTGTTGTAAGCGATTAAGTTCCTGATCGACTAGTTCAAGAGTGGCATATGGTACAGGACGTCTAGGACGAAAAATAGGTTTCGCATCTGATTTCAATGGTAAGTGAGCTTTCATCTTGGTACAGAGGCCAAGGTTATTCTGAAAAACAGAGGCAAACTTTTCCTTCAGTTTTTCACGTAATCTTTCACCTGTCTTCTTTTTAAGTATCGGGGTATCCAATGATGAACACGATATGTTGCAGACACTATTAATGGGTACATCCATTATTCCCAGCTTTTCTAGCATATCTAGACCAAGAAGATCAAGGTTTGGCCGTTCTGTCAGATAGCATATTCCTGTACATTTTGTTCCGTTGAAGGAAAATTCACAGTGTATCTCACCAACCAGTTTTAACACACCACCTGAAGCGCTTTTAGCTGTTTTCTTAGATGGCTTCATTGGCGGTTTTCCCAGCATGTTGTACGTTTCTCTAGACATTAGGGTGATATCTGATGCCGTGTCGATTTGGAAACGAGCTGATGCACCGTTGATCTGGATAGTAACATACTTTCTCCGAACGTCATATTCTGTTTGAAAAGCAGCTACGAGAGAAAGTGATTTAGACTCGGCTGATTTCACCACATGTCGAGTACGTTTGCGCTTCTTCTTGGGTTGAGACGTACGAATTGGTTGGCAATGGCCTTCTTTATGTCCAAGTTTATGGCACATCTGACATTTATGTTTTTTAAATGGACAAAATCGTACGTAGTGCCAATCACCACATAACCAACATGCCGTCGTTGGTTTGTAACGAGATGTTATCGGCTTCTGGACCTTTAACCTAGTAATAGCATTGACACTACTGCTGGTTAAATTGTGATTTACCTGTTCAATCAACATGTTGTCGTGCCTGATACTTTGTAGGCGTTTACACTCATCTGTCAATGTTCTGAGTGTGACGTTAGGGTCTTGGTCCATTCGAATCAAAAGTCTAGTTCTGGTTTCCGCATCTTGCGGTGACTGAAGAGCTTTGATGAATATTAAGCATTTAAATCGGTCTTCCGTCAACGAGCGTAACCTGAACCGTTCACATTCTCTGTTGACGACGTCTGCAAGAACCGCATATTCACCATCTTCGTGTTTCACCAGATTTAGACAATGATATCTAATACTAAACAATGATGCTGATTCGCCGAAAATATCTGACAGCTGAGTTACTGTCTCCTCAAAACTGAGCTCTCGAGGGTACTTCGGTAATATGTGGTCAGCGTAACGTTCATACTCATTGCTACCCAACTTACGCAGCAACAACCGAGTCTTCCATGCATCGTCTTGTTTACCGAATTCAATTCTAAATGTATCTTCCCAACGTTTGAACCACGTCAGAAAAGTATTTCCACATTCAGGATTATAGACGAATTCTGATATGCTGTTTGCCACTGCTTCACAAGACGTATTTGAAACAGTGTGTGGACTCGAACACTGGATGTTGAGCTGTTGAGTTAGGGTCTCCAACAACCGCATTTGTGCATCTAATTGTGCTTGCTGTTGTTGTAGTATTCGGTTAAGCTGATCATCTGAAATAGGCATCTTGAAAAATTTTTTTTTTCTTTTTTCTCCGTCGCCACTGTTGTAACGGTTGCTTACGATATTTCCCGGCTAAATCTTATTGCTTAGTATTCTTGACACAAAACACTGACCAGTAACACAAATCGGAACACGGTTGAACAGGAAGGATTGTATTCCAAAATAACAAAGAAAAGAAGCTGGAGGTGATGGCGAAAGCCAAGGCAAAAAGGCAAGAAGGAGAAGAAGGCTAGGAGGCTTGAAGGCCAAAGATAAATCTAATGCTAGTCTATTTATAGCCTTTACATGAGAAAACTTCTGGAAGAAAATTCACGTGATCGACTGGGCTGGATTTGACCAATCAGCATGCAGCTAATAATACGAGAATTTTCTATTCTGTTCTCCAAGCTTCGCTCAGGCGCTGATTGGATAGGAAATTAGCCAATCAGCGCGTAGTGGCGTAATCATGCTTTAAATCCATCTATGTCCCACTAACAATAAACAACTGAAGCTCTGAGTTATTCGGTTGTTTGTATCTAAAACGTAATACTGTTTATAATTTACTGATTAATAACTAAGGTAATTTTTACTTCTTTTATTCCATGTTATGTAGTCATTGTGCTAACCCTTAATTTTTCATCCATCATGATAATAGCGGACTATATTTTGGAATGGGCAAAAGTTTCAAATATGTAGAGAAATGTTCATCATGAGTTTTTTAAAGAATATTCTAATACTAATAAATATTTGATACAAAAGATGTATCCGAATGTTTCCGTTTGTTGTAATTACATGTGGTTAGTTTAGTCCAGCTCGGAACGAGTAGTTCCAACGATTAATTGGGTTTAGTAAGTTTTATCCTTTTAAACTGGAGACTAACAGCAATGCATCAACTCTCTAAATTTCTAAACTAGATGAAAATAGGTATAACTTTTATGATATGGTTGATGAGGAAGTTTTATAGCTGCCATTCATTATTCCGAACAAGTTAACTTAGGCCTTTATAATTATCGACTGACTAAGACGAGTTCTAAATAGTATGCGACAAGAAAGATTCACTTACATCAAGATAATATAAACAGAAATACTTGTTACCATAATCGTTTGCAGTTAAAAACAATAAAAGAACTTACTCATCTTTGTTTGTGTCTTGTATTGCTAATGGACTATTATAAATAAATGAAGCTTTCCCAAGATATAATTTTTCATCTAAATGTTCTTCAATAGCACTACGTAATTTTGTTGCATGACTAACACGAAGACGTGAATTACGAAATATATAAATGATTAGAAACAATGGAATGAATGTAAGCAAGTTGTTGACAATGGCTACATAAAACTGTGGAAAGAAAATAGAAAAAAAAACAGTACAATAGAAAGTGAATATTTATGACTGGTTAGGTTGACAAACTTGCGTTTATGTTTCCTCAACTATTATTTGGGTTCGAGGTAAAGAATTACAGTCTTTAATCTACCAACGCTAATTTATCATTAACTGAAATCGGCTGGACAGATAAAAATAAAAACACTACCAGAAAATTATGATGGACGAGAAAATTTTGGATTTTGGATATTTTGGTTGTGGAGTTAAAATTAGTCTTGTGAACAACATCATCAGTATAAACTTTAGATAGAAGTGAAGTATTCGAATTTCTCCACGGATGACTCGTAGCTTGTTCTCTTAACCTTAATTTACAGTAGTTGTTATTGGCCTTCAACTTGTCATTGTCTGCAACATTATTTTGATTATCTCCCCCTTTGATCTTTTTCTTGAACCTATTGTTGTCCAGAACTCAAGAATTCACAAAATCAACTGTGTACAAATGTTACTTAGGAGAGCGAAAACACGCTGCAGCACACAAAAAGGCATGAAGAAAAATGTATGATGACTATCTTTCAGCAGAACGGCTATCTACACAACTGCATCAAAAAAACATCAACCTAATCCAACAGCAGAAGCAAATGTCATATATACTATTTATAAAACAATTATCATATATACCATAGATAAATCACGTCAGAAATTGCAACAAGATTACTGAAGCCTTTTGGAACATGTGTAGCACACAAAGCAACAGAAAAACCAAAGATCATCTACAAAAACTGCTCAGACTGTGAAAAGCACTACACAGGATGTCCTCTTCAGTTTCATCTGAGTGCAGATTAATTAGCAGTCAAATTTCATGACATTTCCTCCTACATCAATGCATGAGGACAACTATGAACAAACATTCGATTAGAACAATGGTGAAATCCTGGATATAGAGAGTACAAAGAAGAGAATTTTTAGAAGCTTAGCACTCAGGTCAATCAGCATTGTCAATAAACACATCGACAATAACCTAATTTATCAACCCATAAGAAAATTATCCTGTATTACATTGAAACCTCTCTGGGACATACTGCTAACTACAAACCTGAGGAAATTCCGAAGTCCTATTCATAAAGCCAATGAATTTTGATTCTTCGGTTGATACTTTCTAATTAAATGAAATGCAATTATTTCGAAAATAACCGATCAGTGACTAGTACAATGAACACTTGCTTGGACTTTAACTTCTAGGTCATAATTTATTGCTTCAAACAACTTGTAATAATGACCAAGTATATGCTATTGAACAGTGAGGCATATAATGAAATAATTAGTTAAGTATTAACAAGAAAATTTTGCCCAATAAATTACAAATAATTTTGAAGATTTTCTTGATTTAACCATAGGTTCTGATGACAGCAAAGCCTTCTATTCAAGTTAAACTTCACAAGGTAATGTAAACAGTAGACTTGTGACATTATTCACCAAAGTTAATGATCTACTGTAACGAATAAATTTGTACTTCATTCTCATGTAACTTATAAAGAAGACCATACCAATGATTGAAAATAGATTATCTTATTATGATTTAAATTTTGAACACATACAGTCGTATTCAGTGTGATAAGTAATTTTGTTATTAGTTAGCTACCCTATTTTAATTGATTCTTGTAATATGACCAAAGTCACACCAATGGATATAATAAAGGGATATAGATTTATTGGTCAGTGGAATTCTAATGAATCGTTAAATGTGGTACATCATTTAGATATTGTTTAGCCCTATAAACAAGGTTCAAAACGTTCTTTTACTCAACAATTAGGCCTTTCCAAGAGAAAGAATATTTGACGCTTGAATAGAAGTTGAACAAATTAAAATGATCACCACTATCGTTGATAAGTACTCACTTTACTTTGTTTAGTAATTGAATTCTAGGACATACTGTTTGCTTGATCTTAATCAAGTAAATCACTCATGAGCTGATAAATCGTTTCTCATAAAATGATAGACATGTTCTGTATCTTTTAATGAAGACATTTAGTTTAGATTAATGAATGTTATTGGTTATTAAAGGATAATTCAAAAAATGTTAACTAACCTCACTGGGAGTAAAGCCAAATGGTCCAAGACTAATTAATTTCGGTTGTTTGACAGATCCTTCACCTTTGTAAAACATACACGAACCAAGCATAGATAAATATAATAAAAGTAAACAACAGGCAACTCTTTCCACTCGTGTAAATCGACTGTATATTGGACGGGCTACAACTGATATCCATAAATGATCATCAGACATATTTCGTGAAGCTGTTGTACTGAACATGTGTACGAATGTTAACATTTCTTCTGGACTTGTAACAGGAATAATACGATCCACCTAAAATAATGTTTACACAGGAAGAAAAGATACTTTCAATTACTTACAAACCTTTAAAATAAAGTATTTTTATTTTTCTACAATGTAGATAACACATATAAAGGTGTTTGCCTAACCTATGTATTCATTAATATCTCCCAAAACTTTATGTTTGTAAAAAAAAATTCTGTTAATTTATCTAAATAACGAGTTTCAATGAATAAATATGACTTAAAGTCTTTCACTCTTGTGTTCAGATTGTGAATATGTTATGAATAATAACTGAAAATCGAAAAATGTTATTAAAACCATATTTATCTGCTTGAGATTTTTTGGGTTTTATTTCAATTTTTGGACGGTATTCATCATGAATTGAAAGCAACTGTATCGACCATGAAAATCACAATTCCCTTATACTTCCTAATACTGCCCATTTACAATCAGCCCTAGAGAGATGACGACAACTACTCACAAAATTCGATTTTGTTACATGATGTTAACATTTTGAATTCCATCTCTGATAGAATATAATCATATACAAATTAGCATATTTTTAACAAATTACCTGACCATCACCCTCTTCAACTGCAAACCAACTTTCAACAATAAAATGTGACTTCTCTCTAGTTTGCAAATCAACCACTCCAACGTAATTGCAATACCAAGATGCTTTATCGCCTACACCAGAATTATCGTGCCATAGACGTAAGTAAATTAACGGTCCGAGTGGCCTGTATTGTAGACAGTAGAACAATTGGAAATTACATAATGTAATCGATAATCCTATCAATAAACAACATGCTGTTCATAACATAACATTAAAGAGCGACTTTCAAGATAAGGCTGGTTGTTCCATTGTAGAGCCTTCACATAAAGTTGAGTTCGCTCATATTTAATTTGATTACGCCTTTCGATTAACTTATGTAACCATGATATTTGTATAGCAACAACCTATATGTACCATTGGTATTTTTTATTGTCTGGTTTGTATGAGCTTGTACGACTGAGCATTGCTTACGCCCACGCGCTTACTCATCCAATTCGCTTTAATCTTAATCTCTTAATAGACCCATGAACTCACATGACTTGTCTCGCTTGCTTTTGACCTTGTCAATCATTCGTCGCTTTTATTCATGTGTGAATGTCTATTTCTCTGTAGATGTCTGTCTTATTTTTGTTGACTATATCCTTAGTCATGTCCTATCTCTTGGAGTTGGCTCAACAGCCTTCTCCAATTCACGTCGCTCCTTTCGTTCTATTCACTGCTCCTCCGCTTCGGTTTGTGTGGTGTGTCCCAAATAAACGTATTAAACACTACGAGTTCACCTTCTGATTTATAACCGTCAGACGCCATTTAAAAACGATTGTCTAGACGAGCTAATTACCGAGCTTAAGAACACGCAGTAAATCGGCACACTACAACATGACTGAAATCGTTTTTAGGTACTTTCTTTAAATATTCATTATGATCTAGCAATGAAAAGAGTTGTGCTTCCATAATCAGTATAATCGTCATGGTGAATTCATTTTCTGAATGATCCATTCAGTTCAATCAGTGGCAATGGTAGTCACTTTTTAAAGTTAAATCAAGCATTGAAACTTACTCTCTGATAGACAATCTTAAAAGAAATTATATTTTACATTTAGTATATGTAAACTCTTTTGAAATTGAGTAAATTTGATTTCCTTCTGAAAGTTATAGTTCAGTACCATTGTATTACATTACACTGGAGTTAGTTCAGTTTGAAATCTGATTGTTAGAATTTAATATGAATGGAGTATGTTGATCAAATAGTACAAAAATTTGTACACGATCTGTTTGCATCGAATCCAATATTTAGACAATCATACTTAGTGTAGTGTAGTGTAGTGTATTTCAGTCCCCTGATATCGACAGTAATTAATAAATGTATTACATAGAAACCTGATAAGTTGTTCATTCATAAAACAGTTATTTACACAAAAATATTTGAATACAATTTTTTTTCATTTTTAATCAGTGTATGTGAGTGAAAATCCTACTGTTCATTGAATCCTTGAATCAAGATTACCAGGGTGATTATGTTACACTCAGTGTGACTTATCCCCTACATATTTGTCTTCAAAATTAATGGTGTCAAAAAGATGCCAACATGATATAAGTGAAATTTTCAAATAATCTTACTTAATAGGTTGCGTTACTGGGAACCTACCTTGGACAAGCGAGTAAAAATCGATCGATTGCACCACGACGCAGTACTTGCCTATTGGAATCTTGTAGAACATGGCAGCCTGTCTCACCATATTGTCCAGAAAGAATAAAACAGACTTTAGAATCAGTCCCCGCACATCTACGATGTCCTGTACTGACAATTATTTCATATAAATACTCGTGATCCGGATTATTCTCAGCCAATTGTATAACAGTAAGCTAAATATGAAAAGATAAAAACAGAATATTGGTTAAAGTTTCTATGATTTATAGAGTGTTTTTAGGTATTAGCCATTTGTGCACTTATATCACTAGCGAACAATATATCATTTCTAATGTAATGCACACTACAATCTGCTCATTTGTATAAATTTGCGGAATGAAACATAGGGGATCGATTAAGAAAGTGCGATCTGTTATGTTTCTGAAAATATTTATGGATTCCGTTTGCAAAATATCAATATCTTTACCAATTTGCTCGTTACACATTTGATGGACACAAGATATTAGGTATTCCTGACAATCACTAAACTCCACTGTGCAAAAATTCGTTCATTTTAAATACTTCCAACATAGTTTGGTTAAAAAGACAGATACACTGACAAACTTTTCATTGTTCCAAAATGAACTTGTCAGTTTATTTTGATTGTAAATATTAGATCAAGTTTGAGAGTTTTTGTAAAACATCAACTTTAAGTGAAGTTATATAATCAATTGACCAAATTTAGAAATGTGAGTTGAGTTTCTTCTCAATTGTCAAGGTATTTTTAAAATATTGAATTCAGTTCCTTACAAAGTTGCGACTGTGTACAAGTGGTCAAAGCTAGGTTCACATAATTATCTAGTTCTCTTGATGTTCCGTAGTTGTCTTACTGAACCAATCAATAATGAAAATTATGCTATTTTGGCCTATCTGTTCAGTTGTAATATGCATCTTAATGTTGTTTTTGCTTAGATGAGAAAACCATGCAGTAAAACATTTTCTTTTTGATTCAACATTTGGAGCCGTAGGACCGAAGCTATTACAATAAACGAAATTTTGTTATATTAGGAAAAACACTTAATCAAACAGGAATTAATAAACATACGAATTAATAGTAGGTGCTTTTCTGTTAAGACACGATTTATTATTCATGATTCAGCGGTAAATAGGATGATTGGGATGTTTGCCCATGCGTTAATATTCTTTACCAGTTCCTTGTGTGTGGTACATTTTCCCTGCTGAATAGAACTATTCTCTTTCTGTTAATACTTGTCAGCTGATAACGAACTTCTAACGCGTAGTTCTAAGTCTGTAGATCGTGAGATGCATAGATTATACCAGTCATTTGTGATTAATAGATATTAAGCACTAGTGACTGACGCCAAAAAATATGGGGACAGCTTTTAAACAAGTTTCAGTATTATTTCAACGGTCCCGAGTGACAGATGGATATCTTAATTGTACTTCAAACTTTCTCACCGAGAGGAAATCTTCAGTAATATACTAAGTAATGTCTCACCTTTTCTATGTCTTTAATATCTTCTCTGCGTGCCCAGATAAGTATTAATAAAAATAGAATACAAATAGAAATCTCTGTCGCATATAGTGTTGGATTTTTGTTAAAATCCATATTAGCAAACACATAATTAAAATTAATATTGTTTGGCAGTTCAAACCATCCAGATGTGAACGTGGATAATTCATCACATATACATTGAGTCTGTTGAACGGTAGTTTTAGGACCAACCTAAAATATGAGAAAATGAACACATTAACACAGCATATTCACTTCAAGATTCATAGCAGAAGTATTATTATTACATGTTAACAAATTGAAAAATAACGAAAACTCACGTTAGTTAACGGGAAACTATCCTCATTCATTTAATCAATATTTATATCAGTGAGTTGTTTGTAAATACGCTATATGCATAAATCTGATTTTGAATTTGGCATCGAAAGTTAAATTTGACTAATTTGAACTTTAGAACCCTTTACTGGAACTAATATATGAATGATTAATGAAGTGTTTTATTATATAAACAGGAATAATAAATGTTTTGTTAACATCAAACCATTCGGATCTCTTTCCCGTTGTGATCTCGTGATAATTTTAAATAAGTCTGTTAGATTGAAATTTTATTCAACAAAGTGTTTAAAAACATTTTATCTAGATAATATAGGTGTATGAGCTAAATAGGTGGAAATTGTGAATATTAAATATTTTCACTCACCATGATACTTATTTAGAACTACTTTCATTGTACCTTAACTGCTATGGTTCTTGTACAGAATCGATTTAAGCCCTCAGTGTTAATTTCACTGAACTATTGTTTGCGTTTGATAACAAAAAGTACTTGTTACACGATTCACTAAGAATCAAAATTCTCAATTGTCGTTTGAACTCCTATCACTTCGTAAAATATACTGATTAGTTAAGAATGTGATTCAAATACTTGTTGAATTCAGCACATAGGTTCGGTACATCTACACATTGATTTCCTAATTCATAACTGATGTCCTATGAGGCTTCCTAACAATTTAGTGAATTTCAGAGGCCCTAGTAAAGAAATCCATTCTAGTGGATGTGATGATATGCAAACTTAAGTCAATGTGGGTTAAAATTAGATACCAACACGTAAAAAACAATTATCTGTAAGAATTATTTCCCATAGAGAGTCAGGCACCTTTCAATCAACAGATCTATTTATAATGCCAACCTCAATGGCATATAGGGGAGTAAGTTGTGGTTGATCTCCTATAATCAGTACATGAGACATAAAATCAAAGTAACAGTTTAAGAATTTGGCAAAAGTAGCACTTAAGTATCAAGTGAAAAGATCGAGTAGCCTGTAAATCAAAACACCTGAAAATCATTTAGTTGTTTTAAAGAAGCTGTCAAAGAAGTTAAGTACTTGGAAAATTTAAGATTGTGTAAATTCACCGTCCATTGTTTATTTGGTTTGATCAGTAATATTGATCGTGTCTGCAAATGAAGGCTGACTTACAGCTGTAATTTTCCATACATGAATAGTTAGAACATTGGTCCATGAATGAGAACTAGTATTACCCTGTATATAAAGTAACAACATAAAACTCACTCGACATTTGCTTGTAGACCATTGTTTCGACGAATCCACTTGACCAGATACACAAGATGTTAAGAACCAACGTGAAAGGGCTGTGTTATTTATTTGATCTCTATATGGGTAAGGAATCGACGGAGGATTTGTACTTTTATACATATTGATCTCGTATTGATTCAGTTGGCGAAAACCTATGTAAACTGTTTGAGCTACAGACTTCTGTAGAAGTTCAGATCTTTCTCTGAATTCCTGTGATGATCTGAGCTCCATGAGTTGACGATTATCCAACATAAATGTATACCCGTAGTCTGGATCACTTGGATTTGTGGTTAGATTGACTAGCAAAGAAAAATGAAAGATTATTTTCGCTGTTAATTATTAAAGCGTTATGAGAAACAAATAGTGAAATGTTTTTCGTAACATTTAACTTACATTCATGATAACTATGTGATCAGTAACAGAAATTTTTTATTAGTAGGTTGGGTTAGCTAAATATGTTCGTACAAGTTAACACATTAAAATTGTGAAAACTTGAAATTAAAATACAGAGAAGTATAAAACTGAATACTTTGTGAAATAAAAACGAATAGCCTATACTAAATTTACTTCCAAATACAAACTTCCGATAAGTATTTGCTGGTTAGATTGTAGCGCTCATGGTGTGGTGAGCGCTACTTATAAGTAGTATATAACGCGAGTGAAAACGTAATGTCTGGCAGCAGAAGATGGGGGAAGATCAAGAAAGGAAGAGTGGGAACACAATGGAATTTGTATGAAACGCATGAATAGCGAAATGTCAGACAATGGATTGATGATGGATTGAAGATTTGCAAATTAACCGTTTATGATATGGTTTTTCCTATTTTACTGAGTAACTCTGTAACTTGCGATAAATACAATTCGGTCGACCTCACCTGTGTTCTCCTACACTACATTTGGTGGCGCTGCCTATACAAAGGATGAAGATTCCATTGCCGAATGAGTTTGAGGATGTAGATGTGCGGAGCTTCCTGAAGGAGTTTGAGGCCATGGCGGAGATGGTGGGGGTGAAGGGGCCGAGGGCGAAGGCCGTATATGACAGCTTGGACGGTGCTGGCGGGAAGACGCCATGGGTGATGGTCATTGAGCGGCTGATGGCCGAGTTCGACAGCCCGGTGGACAGAGAGGAAGCATTGCAGAAGTTCCGTTTGGTTAGGTTGTCGGCCGATGGTGACCCACTGGTGCTTGGTGTGGAGCTTACCAGGTTGCTGCGCCGTGCGTTGCCGAATATCGATGAGGTGTTGGAGGCACAGCTGTTGGCGTCGCAATTTATCGAGAGTGTGCCTACCGCCGTGTCCCAGCAGTTGAGACTAGTAAATGCTGAGCAACCTATGGGTATCGGTGAACTGGCGAAGGTGACTCGTCAGCTGATGACACGAACAGTAGCTCCGGTCGGGTGCAGAAAGCAGGAGATAAATACTTTCGAGAAGAAGATTGAGGAGTTAGAGCGTGAGATAGAAGCATTACGAGTAAATCATAAAAGGAACGATAAATGTTACGCTTGTGGAGAGGCAGGACAAGACGACGACGATATTTTAAACATTATAACGTGTGTTCTTTCCACCCTGGGAATCTGGAGGTTCTTGCACTAGTAGATAGAGGGGCAACTTATGCCAGAGTGTACATAAATGAATAGGAGTTAGTGTGTTTGATCGATACAGGGGCAGCTATATCGTTAATAGGCAAAGAGCAATGTAAGACAGTCAAACCATGTACATTAGCTGTCCACACCATAGGAGGGCATATGCTAGAGGTGTTAGGGGTATCGAACAGTATTGTAAAAATGAGTGGAGCTGAGATAAATTTTCCGTTCGTGGTAACCACAAGCTAATCGAGACAGATATTAGGAGCAGATTTCCTAAGAGAGGTAAAAGCGATAATTGACTTGAGAAGCGGTAAAATGGTCACAAAGTACGGTTCATTGCCAATACACGAAAGGAGCGAAGTGGCTGAAATAAGGATGACAACGGACGTCTCGACCAAGAAACCAAACATTAACGAGTTATGCGCAAAGTATGCGAAACTGTTCGCTGGGGATGGGGAGCCGTATGGATTTTGTGACAAAGTAAAGCATGAAATTCCTATAAAGAACAACCGAGTAAATATATTTGCAACACGTCGTGTCCCGGTGCATTTAGAGGCCGAGGTAAATCGACAGGTCCAGGAAATGTTGAAGGAAGGTATAATTGAGGAAGCAGACAGCCCTTATAGCTCGCCGGTACTCTTGGTAAAGAAACCCAATGGAAAGTATAGATTTTGCGTCGACTTTAGAGAACTGAATAATATAACAGACCTGAAACCTTGCGCAATGCCAACAGTAGTAAAAACATTAGATCGGTTACAGAATGCCACGATGTTTACAGTGCTTGATTTACGGTCAGGTTATTGGCAACTACCTATAAAAGATAGTGATCGCAACAAGACAGCATTTACTATACGGGAAAAACAGTATCAATTTAAACGAATGCCGTTCGGGTTGGCGGGTGCACCGTTTACGTAAGAATCTAGATAATGTTGAGGTATATGGCGGCGATGTAGTTGTATACAGCCTGACGGAAACAGATCACGTCAAGCATGTGGAAGCAGTCTTAAAGCGAATTGACGAATTTGGGCTTCGAATTAATAATGAAAAGTCACAGATAGCGAAAAACAGCGTCATATTGTTGGGACATAAAGTGGGGAAGTGGAGAAATAAAACCATTACCGGAGAAAATTGTTACCATAAAAAATATTGCAGTACCTAATTCGAAAAGGAAGTTGAGACAGTTCCTGGGAAGAGCGGCGTTCTATAGTCGGTTCGTCAAGAATTTCAACGAAATAGCAGCGCCCTTATATAAGTTGCTGAGCAACACCAAGTTTACATGGACTGAGGCTGCCGAACAAACGTTCAACCGAATCAAAAACATGCTAGACGATCGTCAGACGACTCTGAGACTGCCTGAACCCGGTAAACTGTTTACAGTGGCCACAGGTGCAGGTGATCATGGTATAGGTGCGGTATTGAGTCAGGCTGATAGAGTGGTGGAATACGCAAGTCGCGTTCTCACACCCGCCGAACAGAAGTATTCAACGATCGAAAAGGAGTGCCTAGCAATCGTGTGGGCAGTAGAAAAATGGAGACCGTACCTTTTAGGTAGACGAATTCACGTTGAGACTGACCATAAACCCCATGCAGTGGTTGAGAACAGCAAGAGACCCCGAGGGAAGTTGGCGCGGTGGATGATACGTCTGCAAGAATACGACTTCAGTATCGGCCATGTTCCAGGAAAGGAATACGTAATGGCGGATTACTTGTTAAGATCAGACATGGAAGCTGACCTTCCAGTGACAGCATATGCGGTGATTAGTTTAGAGGGAGACCCATTAGAACTCATCCGGCAACAGAAAGCTGACCCGAACCTTCGAGAGGTAATCAGAGTGATAAAAGAAGGAGCAGACGTAGACAAACGAACGACGGACAAGGAGGTAATAATTTTACTTCGGCAAAATGAACGACTGAAAGTGAACGCATATGAAGTCCTGACCTGGCAGGACGATGACAAGAATTGGGTGGCTGTAATCCCGAAAGACTGGCGGCGTAAGATGATACACGAGTATCATCAGGTAGCACATACAGGCATCGCAAGAACGACGGATTTATTACGAAAAAGTGCATACTGGCCGGGCATGAGAGACGATGTGGCTCATTACGTGTTAACTTGCCAGCAGTGTCAACTAATGAAAAGCGATAGATACACACAACCGCCATTACAGTCGATCTCAGTAACCGCAGTCGGTGATCTATGGTCGGTGGATATAATGGGACCGGCAACCGGTACCTGCTAGTGATGACGGAGCATGCTACACGTTGGATAGATGCCGTACCCAGACCAGCGGGCAAGAACTGTGACCGAAGTGGTGATCCGGCATATTGTAGCGTGCCACGGAATACCGAAAATGATATTAACGGACCAAGGTCCCTGTTTTGAAAGTGACGAGTTTAAAGACCGTCTAAAGCAGTTTGGCATCAAGAGGATACGAACTACACCGTATCATCCTCAGACAAACGGGCTTACAGAGAGAAACAACCGGACGTTAAAGGACTGGTTAGCATCTAAAGGAGGAGATTGGGAGAAAGAGTTACCATTGATTTTGCTGGCGCATCGTTCCTCCATACAAGGTACAACCAGGAAATCACCCTTCTCGCTCATGTATGGCAGACAACCGCGACTTCCATTGCACAATAAGACCTGGCCACAACAACAGAAATGGACAACGACAAGGTTAAGAAAAGAGAGGAGAGAGGCAATCAGGAACGTGGGAAAGAAACAAATATCAGACATAAAGAAGGCGGAATAACAGAGGAGAACGTGGAAAACTTTTGCAGTGGGGGACCTAGTAAAGTGTAAAGAACAAAAAAGTAGCATAGCAGGGGGATCAGGGTGGGGAAAGCTGATCCCAAAGTGGGACGGACCGTACGTTATCACGGAGAGACGCGGCGCGGTGTACACGATCCGGAGAGAAGACAAGCAGAAGCGTGTAAATGCCAGTCAACTGCAGAGGTGGTTTCAAGATTATCAAGCATGTGAATCACAGAAAGCACCAAAGAAGACAGCGACACGGCGATCATAAAGACTACGACGACAGCTTATTATAAGTGTGAACGAGTGTGGAGCGCGCTACTTATAAGTAGTATATAACGCGAGTGAAAACGTAATGTCTGGCAGCAGAAGATGGGGGAAGATAAAGAAAGGAAGAGTGGGAACACAATGGAATTTGTATGAAACGCATGAATAGTGAAATGTCAGACAATGGATTGATGATGGATTGAAGATTTGCAAATTAACGTTTACAATATGGTTTCCTATTTTACTGAGTAACTCTGTAATTTTCGTTAAATACAATTCGGTTGACCTCACATGTGTTCTCCTTCACTACAATGGTTTTAGCAGACAAGTTTTTCAGATCGTCTGCTAACCCTGTTAGTTTCAAAAAATCCATTTATTCGGCTTCATATTCTTGTACCACTTGCGCTCACATCGTGCAGATTTACATAACCATTCTTCCATTACTCATAGATAAGTTATATATATATATATATATATATATATATATATATATATATATATATATATATATATATATATATATATATATATCATGCGCTTTTTATCAGCTGATAATTATGAAGAATTAAAGAATGTCGATCATAGGTCCAGTCTCAGTAAAATGCTATGTAGTTTCACTATTTATAACTTTTCGATATCGAATTCTTCTGAGAATACTCAGAAATGCGAACATGTAATATTTTCTCTGTTCTTTTAATGAATATGCTTTCGCAAGTGCACATTAACTGGTAAATGCAGTTGCAGCAAATAAGAAAAGAGGTTCTGCTGTTTTGTGTTGATTTGAGCGAACAGTTCGTTTCAAATAAAATGATCAGTCTTGCCACTGGATAAGTGATCTTCGTTGCAGCATTTATTCTGCAGTTAATTATTCTAATAATTTCATCCTCTTTGAGGCGAAGATATAGGCAGAAGGTTTTCTTGTTAGTTGCATAGAATTTAACACGTTCATTAATTTGGTTATGAATAAATCGAATTCTATATAGGCTGAAATTTGCTGTAATAGTAGTATGTTTAAGTATTTATGAAAATTTAATGTTTAGACAAATTGATTTGAACTTGAATATCCTAAAAATAATAGATAATTTGTATTCAATCACTTATTTATCAAAATTTACTGATCTGATAGGTTGTGTGAATCTGACGTGTTAGTGAATTCAGGCGGTGACTAACAATTTCATTGAAACAGTTTGACAATTTACTTTAGAATAAGATGATTTTACAATTTTCAAGTGATTACTTATATAAAATGGCTTGATAAGAAATGTAATCCAAATAGTTTTCATGTTACTGAAATGATTTTGTTATATTTCCTTGTTTCTCTATACTGGTTTGACTGTCTATGTATGAAAACCATAGTGAATTTATTTTATTTAAGATTTGTAACAATATCTTCACTTAGAATAAATCGTAAATCTATGTTTAAGATTGACAATTTAACTTTGTTAGATATACAATGAAAAAATTTAAAGGATAACGACCGAGTAGAAATTTGTAATGTTATTTGACAATTTCTTACCACATTGTGAAGTATCTTTAGGTAGCGTAGTCCACATATCATATCCTCCACTTGATAAGGAAATTACTGGAGGATCAATCAATCTATAAAGAGGAAGAATGACATTCAGTTTCATTAATAGTGAATAGAAAATATGATACGTAGTTAAATGTTCAACTTCAGGAAATAAACTGGAATATTTTTTGAAACGGCTGCTAGTTTGGTTTTAAATGTACTCTATCCAATTAGACAAACATATAACCGAATCAAAGCAACTTCATTATCAAATAATTATTCTAATCTCTTATAGGAGAGTTTGTCAGCTGTAACTGGGATAAATCCCATGCTAAGCTCCATGCTGTTTTTTAGAACATAATATACTTACATGAAACGAACTGAATAATAGTATCGTTTTAAATGTAGTCTGTTCAAAATCCCTCAGACCAGTACAATTTGTCATCACTAATATGAGATGATAAAGATGATAGAAATCCCACCCGTTAATCGGAAAATAATTACAATTTAATCGAACTTTAAGAGCATAAATATTTGCCATTTAGTTCTGATACTCTAATTCATATCAGTTACTGACGTATTCACAGATACAAACCGAGTATAGTATTGCTTTTTTCAACACCAAATAATTGTAATAATAATTAGCCTGGTCACTATGATCCGCGATCAAATTGATGAGTTCTGCGAAATGAAGGATACCAAAGTTTGGTACATACCATCGTATTATGGTGAGACCATCTAAGTAACAGGATGACTTTTTAGAAAAAAATGTTTATTTTAAATGTTATTAATGCTCACCTAAGAAACAGTAAATACTGTGGACATTCAGAAATATTTTCAGGGTATAACTGGAAAAATACCGCTACGTCATTTGGCACTACCTGCTGACTCATTAAGAGAGCTTGATAAACTTCTGTGTTGTCCACAGCTATTCGTACAGCTGGTAATCGCGGTCGATTTGTCGCTGGATCCATACTTGTAAAGTTTGGTTGTTTGAAATTTGATAACTTGAGACAAAGACAAAGTTAAAATGACTGTTGTACAGAACAGAAACAAAATTTCCCTACTACTTCGTAACGAACTTTGACAATTTTTAAATAACAAACTAAGAAATTACTTGTGAACCATTTCAATAGCTCATAACATATTAAAGTACTTTACAGCATACACTCTCTATAGATTGATATTTTATTTACACATTGTAACTACTCTTATGTCGACTTCGTTTGTCTTATCACTTGAAAGATTCTGTTCATGTTTTTTATAATAAGATCGAACATAAATAATTTTTAATTCGCTAAAAATATCTCATCATCAAAACGAGAGATGGTTTTAATAATAACTTTTTTTACACGTTGGAATTACCAATCAATCCTTTTTGGACCACCATTAGAAACCTGGAAGCACTGGACGGCCGTTTCGTTCTGGTAAGGGGCTCATCAGCAGTGCGCATACACGACTCCTGCACCTCGCACGATCCAGCCGCATGACTTTCGGTCTTGCGCGCGGACGCCTAATTTCTGGACCACTGAGCCGGAATCCAACGGTGTTAATGTCTAACTCTGATTATTCTAGGGATCTTGCCCGACCTCACCCATTTGTCTTTGGTAGTTACTGCCTACACCCAACAAACATGAAGTCCACTGGTCGTTAACGAAAAAATCTTTTAATCAGATAAAAATACTATACAAGGTTTCGTAAATTAATAGGTTTAATAACAGTTGTAGTTCAGCTCTACAAGAATAAATTTTCTTCTTGACGAATAGTTTCAAATTAAATTCCATATCTCATCGTCAAAGTCAATCAGATCTAGACGCTTCATAGGAGACTGAATTTCTCTCTGAACAACTAGGTTGAAACGATTGCAGGCTGCTTAATGGATCCATAAGAGATTATTTTAATGATAGGTTTACTGAAAGTCTTTAAGCTGCCTATTCGTAAATCTTTGACAGATTATTTTCTTTCTGAACAGCTGTAGTTCTAACGTTGACTGTGCTTTAGAACTGTGAAAATGAAATAAAACATGATGAATCACTCAATAAACAAATATTCCATATTCATAAAATTTTTTTTATACCCTGTGAACAATTCCTTCAAAGATTTCTTTGACATTGCCAAGGATAATTGGTTCGTTATCGTATAAAATCAGTGTAATAGTTTCAGTATTAAATGGAATCGGTAAAGGTGAACCTGTACGAAATGAGAACGGGTTGGTTTTTGAGACGAATGTCTAAAAAATAAGAATATGATTGTATGATAAAACTTTTTAGATACATGTCAGTGAATATAATACAGAAGATCATGAAATTAATAAAGATGAATAAGTTTACAAGATTTTTTTCATGAATACGTTTATTCTTGTGATATTTTATTCAGTAATCACTATGTCATCGTTTTGGAAGAAAAACTCGACAGTTAATTGTTTTCATTTGAACAACCCGTAATGATGTTAGGGCATGATATGACTTGAAAGAGAATTGAAAAAGCTGAAGGTTTGAGTTTTATTAGCTGTATATAATACAGTTTCAAGATATTATTTCCGCTGGTATGAAATCTCTAGTATCCAGACCTTTTGATAAAAACAATATATATTTGAGCTGAATTCTAAGAAGTACCTTTAGCTAGTAATGAGTATCTTTCCATTGTGTTACTGTTCAGTGGAACTTCTACTTCAAAATAAAATTCTTGGTGAAAAGTGAATTTTTGAACTTTCTCTACCTGATTACTTCGACTTTTACCAAGATATATAGTATTACTTCATTCTAACTGGTCTTTGTCTAAATATGAGAACTGTACCAAATTATTTGCATAACTCATTTTGATTTCATACGCTTGTCGCATAGGTATTTTCACATACAAAGTATCAGATATAATCTAATTTCTCGGACAGATAATGGTGAAATCGTCAGTGATTTGTTGGTGAATGAAAATGATACCAATTATTCGATAATTAGTTACTGTTTCAAACTAAGTCTATTCGGTAGTCATGACAGTTCCAACAATGTACCAACAAAGTGAAATCTTTATTCCAGTTGTTCTGGACATTAATTAAGTCAATGAAGCCTACCTGTCACTGTCCGTTGTAGAGGAAGTGATATGTTTATCTAATATATACTTTGAAAATAGAATAGAATGTGATTTCATCAGCAGCAGTCTGAGGAAGTCAGCTATTAGGATAGAAACTAACTAAATTTTGATGACTGATTTAGTCAGACACTCAGTCGTAAAAGTTTCCTACATAAAAATTATTCAAATTATTTTACACAACCTGAGAAATTTGTACTTAATACACTAAGTTAGCTGACTACACAATAGTGAGTCATTGGTATCTGGAACTATGTAGTCCCTAAATCGGGAGATGTATTAGTGCCCCTTGGTTTCCAGAGATTATGTGACTTAAATTCCCTTGTAATGAGAACCGTCTTTAACAAGCAACATTATATTGCATGTTAATAAACTTACTTGGAAACTATATGGTCTTGAACAACTTTTATTCAAAGCTTCAAGACTTTTGCATAAATTGTTGACGAAAGCACCATTTGAATTGTTTTCCAATAAAGAAATCCTATTTGATAGACCATTCGGTTGGATCTTAAAAAGACTAATCACACCATTTGACGTTTGAAATGTAATTGGCGGTGCATTTTCAATTAACAGGCTTTGTGTGACTTTTTGTGCTGTATTCATTAGTTTACCGATAGTATCTAATGTCTGACCAGCCTATTTCATCCGAAATCAAATAAGTAACATAAAATAACTTTGATTAATAAAAAAGAAACATTGTTGTAATGATAACATATTTAATGAAAATGTGTTACGTATGGCCAACCACCGACTGCCACGACGAGCTATGTCTTGCAGTTTAGGAGTAGATTGGAAGAAAGCTAGAGGCGGACAAACCAAAACATGGTACAAATGCATGAAGTCACTGACAAGTGGACTGAGTCATGTTGGTAGATGTAGGCTACCTGGTTGGGGTCCGCGAGACGAAAGTCACCAATGGTTGGAGACCTTGAACGACATGGCTCAAAACAGTTTGCAATGGCGCAGGTGCAGCCACTCTTTGTGTTCTATGAAATTCTAAGCTTCTTCATTCCTCATAATCTCTACCTTTCTCCTTCTTAATTTATCTTACTGAATTATACTTCTCGAATCATATCTTCGCTCCCTAATCTTCTCCATTAATGCTAATACTTCTATTATTGCTATCACTCTTTGATTGGAATTGACAGTTGCGTCTCTGTGCTGATGGGGCATGGCAACCTGAACTGATGTACGTACGTACGAAGTTCTGCGTTGTATCTGTCTGTCTGTCTATCTGCCATACTGAATCTTTAGTCAAATACTTTTACAAAACAGTGTGCATTTCTCAGTCTAAACTGGATCAAATGTAAATAAATCGATTTCCACAAGGTTGCTTCCTCACAAGCTTAATGAACTTGAGCGTTTGAAAAATATTCTAAAAGTCTGTGTTGCCAGAATATGATGGATTTCAGATATTGTTTTGAGCAATTATGCAATCATTTCAGCACCGAAGGTCAACATTTGTACTGTTAAATGCAATACAATAGATGAACTGAGTAGTATGTGGTTGATCTTTAGCGAATTATCTTGTGATATCTTTTGACTGATCAAGATTTTTCATACACAATGAAAAACAAAAGTTAAAAAAAAAATAGGAAGTGAAATTAACAGTTGATTTTGTTCAACATTATTGACTTTTCAGTAAGAAATAGTTTTTCACAAACATCATTTCAAATACCATGAGTCTATGAATTTAAAATCATCCAAACGAGATTAACCTACCAGTACTGATTGTTGACTGGCACTATTTTGCAACATTAAATCATACATAGGATCTGAACCGGAAGTTTGTAGACCTATTAAACAAAGAGAAGAAACAACTAATAGACATATGCTTCAAGATTTAACAAATATTAGAATATCTGTTCTCTGGTTTATTCGATAAAAGGAACTAAATTTTCAACATGGTAAATAGCATCTCATTGGTGCTAAACAATGGAAATTCCTATTTAAACGTTTAGGTAGCGTTTTTGCATACGAACTACTAGAATACACTTTTGTCGTCAGATGACTCTCTTCAGGTATGTTCAGTTCAAAATTAATCTCAGCTAATCCATTTAATAACTTTTGATGAAGAAAGCTTGTAAATCACTTCACTGTGAATAAATTAATGTATTTATTTCATTTAAAAGTGAATTATTTATTCATAAGTGACAACCAATAATGGTAAACGTTTTTATCACGACTTTGATGACGTTGGAAAAAGCAAACTGATGTATTTCAACTTGATGGAAGGGGACTATTGTAGTGCCTCCACATATATTCCAGTTCGCTTACATTTAATTTGGTTAAGCCCTTTTGATTTATTTATTTAACCAAGCCATTTGTATTGCAACAATTTATATGTACCATTCGTTCTTATTATTGTTCGGTTTGTATGAGCTCATATGACGTGTCCTACTTGTCATTTGACCTTGTCAACCATTCGTCACTTTTATTCATGTTTCTCGTATTCACTCTCTTCCTTCGCCCATTCGATTGCACTGTAATCCTAGCGGTTGGCTCAACAGCCTTCTCCAATCCACGTCGCTTCATTCGTTTTATTCACTGCTTCTCCGCTTTGTTCATAACTTTATCGTCTTCTCAGTGGGAGTATAATCAGTCCAAATCAAAATATTTCACATGTTATGAAATCGCCAGCAACCTTTCACAATAAGCCTAATAAGATGGGTGATGTATTTGGCAACGGGTATTTTACCACCTTAAACTCACATCAATTTCCGATCTACCCTCCAGAACACGGGAGTAATCATCCAAACACTTTGTATCAAGTATTATTTAGATTTAAAAATACATCCGATTATTTACATGAAATTCATCAATAAAAATAATAAGCCCGGAACTATGTGATAGATTAACGCAAAACATTTTGAACAATCTTACCACACATACTTGGTAAAAACATTCCTATCAAAAGTTATAGGTCAGCTGCACAAATGCGAGGCAATAGACAACAAACATAATATGCTAACATACCACTTATATTGACAGTCGTCATGTTATTACATTATCAAAAGGATTAACTGTTTTGAAATAGACACTAAAAAACTTTTGAAACTGATTTACCTGCTTTCTCGAGATCAACATTGTAATCGAGCGCAGCTGGATCAGTCGGTATATCTAAGAAGATCGGGTTATCAATCTGTTTATTTCCAGCCTAGAAAAAAAATTATGATTAATCAGCTGATGGATAGTTCGTTATGCTCAAAAAAGCGAACAGTATATATGTATATATAGTCCTGAAAGTTAGATGTCATCATAATAACACAATAGTAACATCTCTGACTGTGAAGCTGTATGATAACAGATTCAGATCCTTCAATTAAAATTAATTCACTCAAAAATGAAGACGCATCCTGCTGACTAGTACCGACTGGCGAAAAATCTAGGCCAGAAGCCTCCTATCAACTCCCTATTTTCAATAGAGATTAAGAATGTATTCATTAATCAGGTATGTATGCATGTTACATATCAGTGCTAGGTGGTGACGCTAGGTAACACTAAGCAAAATATAGTTTATAGTCGGTGAGCCGTGTTTTTTAATTTATTTGTCATATAAAAACATTCTACTCATAAACCTTGATTCATAACAAATAGTGGTAAAAGACTTAACCATTACAGTCTGTGTAAAATAAATATCTGTTACAGTAACCTATTTTTTGGTGTATTACTGTTTGTTCTTAGGTGAGTGTTCAGAAACAAAAATCAGTTTACAACTTACATCAGCTAAAAGAAGCGCTGATTGAAATACATTTGTGATCACTTTTAATAGTTGATTTGTATTGTCATGAGCAACTGTTTCTAGAGAGTCGATTACTTTTGAAAGGTATGTGTTTAATTTCAACTGGGAGCTTCTATCTACGTCCAATGTATTGTTAAGTATGCTTTCAGTGCTTGACATTGCTAAGATGAATGAATTTGAATCAGTCGGTATAAAATTACTCACAGCATTGACCAGAGTTTGAATAATCTATTTAGTAAATGAATAGAAAGTTGAAGTGTTTAAAAACGAGTAAACAATAATGTAGATCGGAGGTTCTCATAAAACTATATAATGATTCATCTTCTGCGTTAAGTATCTGCAGAAAAGTAAAACATCTCAGTAAAACTCATGTACATGTTGATACACATGACCGAAGTTAGAAATTCTAGATTCTGAATTAAAAAGCAATGATTCCTAATGATTGTGTTCGTAAATGATGGTAAGTGATCTAAGTTAAATCTATGAAACATAAAATTACTGAGAAGTATTATTCTATGGTGTAGTTATTTTCACATTCATTGGTCTGTAATCCAAAAGGCAGATATATATAATATCACATGAAAATGAATACCTTCAAAGATTTGTCTCACAGAAATATTTTCTCTAGAAATGGGAATATTGTGTTTTTTAAGGCAGATAATGGAAATTGTCTACTAATGCTCTCTCACTACCAGTAATAAGAAGTTATGTAATTTTAGAATAAGTTGGACGATTGTTTAATGTTAAAATTAGAGTTTGCTCCATAATAGCTCAGGCTTCATTAAAACAATCATTGTTTTCAACACTTGTCGTTTCAAAACTTTTAAGTAAAATTCTGTTAGCATATTTTACTGAAAACATGAAGTCTTGTTATGCGTACATACTTCGCTCATCAAAATATTTCCCAGTGTATGATCCTTCATAGACACGGTTTACTGAAACATTGTTCACCGTTAGTAAAACCTAAACATTTTACTTGTCGGTTCTCATAGATGGAATGAGCTAAATGGCTTCTTTATGTGTTTTGATAAAACGGTTATTTCTTTCTATAAAAGAATAACTTGTTGAAATACATTGGCAGAGAATCTCGATTGACCAATATTTGAGTTTTATTGATAAGGTAGTGATAGAGTTTTGAATACTTAAACAGATTCAGGTTTGCTTAGATTATATTTAATGAATATGAGTTACATAATATGTATATAATCTGCATTCATTCTGGTTACTACTGTTAGAAGCTAATTATTAATTTTGTTAGCATAGTTTATAAGTGGATTTTTTGTTGTCTACTGACCAGAAAATTTCATACTTAACATTAAACTGAAACATTCAGCGAACATTATCACAGAACATAGCATCCTTAATCGATAGCTGAACTACAGCGTTCTAAATGCTGATAATTTAAGTCAAATTGACGTTTCAATATCACTTACCACAGAACGTAAATTACGATTTAATGTTGCATCTGAAGTCTGTAAGAGAATAATAAATTAATTGCATCACTTATTATTCATACAAGAATCTAATAAAAATTATTGCGTAATAAATATTTTCGGTGTTTTACAACATTGAGGGATGGTTATATATATACCTTAACAGCGTAAGAATACCGTCTAAGAGACTTAGATTTGCCTAGTGTGGTAAGCTATACAGAGAGGTTTTAAACAACTCCTGCCTCACGGATAAAAGAAATAAAAAGTCAAGAGACGGGATAAATTGTAATACCAATAATTTGGCTGAAGAATAATTCACTTTAAAAAGTTTTGTCTTTTATTTCTACACTCTTATAATGGATTTCTGTTGAAATTCACTTCTGGAAGTCGTGCAAATTCGGATTACGCTCACATTTCAATAACAGTGAAGTTATAGCATTGGCATAAATCGTTATTTCTGTACATTTAAAAAATTTCATTGGAATAAGATAAAATGTGTTCTGAAAGTAACACACTCTTCCATCAAAGCATCTTCATATAATCAAGCGGATGACAAAAAGACTTCCATGTTTTCTTTGTAACAATATTACCATTCACTAATCTGTCCGTACAACAAGCTCGTTCAGCTGTTCATTTTGTAACGAGTTGGCGTAGCCATTATTTATGGATGACCTTCGGGCAACCATTAAATGACCTTGTAAAATTTCAGTCAGTCAGGAAATAGTTCGGAATGAGTAAGAATCTTCTAAACAAATACAAATTTAGAGCGGATAAACTTTTAACGGCGGACTTTCTGAGAATATCTAATTTGTATTAACCTCTTATGATAGCGAAGACCTGCTAAGTTTATTTAAGGAGTTGCTACTTATCCAGTCTTATCTCACACTTCTTCTTCTATTGAATTTCTAACAACTCTTATTGATTTCTACAATAAATCTGCAGTGAATCCACTTTTATGAAGAGAACGCGAGTGGTTTAATAGAAACATTCATTATTAGAACCAATTGAACCAGTGATTGTTTAATTCAACCTCTTTGTTTATTACTTCTTTGCACTCGCAAACGTTCCGTGTGTGTTGCTGCCATTTTGGCTCCCCTGTCCCTGTAATTTCGACCCTCTTTTCTGGCTCGATTTCGGTATTCTTTCGATACCAGGAAATCGCAAACAAATATATTCTCTCGCATGGATTTACTTATCTCCTCTGTGGCGGGTATGTAATGGGTCTGTAGTGGTGATCTTAGTCAATCACGACTACTCGCATCATTACACATCTAACTCCTCCAAAGGACTGGTTCAACCCCATCATCTTTATCATATATCTATCTATATATATATATATATATATATATATATATATATATATATATATATATATATATATATATATATATATATATATATATATATATATATATACTAATGAACCGCAGAAGCTTCAGCAGCACCTGTGAAAGCTGCAGCCAATGTTACTGGTGCTCTTATTACCCAGTTAGCAACAGTAAGCATAATCTGTGATAGTGTCAATCGAGATCGAGCAAAAATGTCCTCGTTCTTGCACATCTCTTTCTCCAACATATTTTACAATGAAGTACAACATCATCTCTACAGTGCCTAGCAGTGATCACAAATATTCAGGGCTCTCAATAATCCCAACTGTTGTAGCCGCTCCACTATGACGTTCTCTATGAAATCCACTGTAAACTGATCGTACATGTGTATTGGGCAAAAAAATAAGCCCCATGACCTTGAAATAGATCACTTCATGCTGATTGGCTCGTCCAGAAATTACAGTCTTGCTTTAGGTTGTGATCACAATTTATCTTATTATTAAAAATATCACTTACATTATTTGAACTTGTGGCGCCTAAAAAAAGATAAGCAAATGGAGAAGAAATTATTGGATGAAATACCGGTAAACAAAAAATGAAGTATAGTCTCGAATGTTTTTGCCTTGATTTATGTTTGTCAAGGGCAACCCGTACTAGTAGTATTTACATAAGTGAGTAGCAGAATCCTATGAAATGACCTACTAAATAGATAAATTATTCACCGATCTCACATTTTGATTGAATATAGAGTATTGAGATAGATGTTGCAGCTAGATAAGTTTGTCTAAGTGAACATATTCAGGTAATCTCTGGGATACACAATTTCCTGCTTATTTTTTAAATTCTAGTAAAATATTTACGTAAACTTGAGGAACCACATGATGGACTCTAAAGTTGATATCTAAATATTTCATTACTAATTATTTAGCATCTATTACAAATTATCATTGATTAATATGGGCTCAATATCTACGAATTCGATTATACAGCTTTAGTAAATGGCACTGTCTAGAAAAAAAATATCTTTCCTCTAATTCGTCTCAATCGTCTTACTGATCTAATGGGCTTCTTTTGTTCTTTATGTCTAAAAGTTGGTACTAGCATTACCAACGAACCAACAACTATGAATGAATCCTGCCGAAGCCCTGATTGCTTTAATAATAAAAGTCTTCAGATGTTAATGAACAAAGTTTTGATTTTCTGTTTACCAGTTATTTATCTACATATTTCTCTTCAAACTCTAATTATCTACGACGACAGTGACCATAGACACACCCTGCTTGATTCAATAGTTTGATTATGACACAGTTGCCTCCTCATAACTATTTTAGTAAATTCCCAGAGTGTAAAACTTAAATAGTCTTGTAGAACACGGTTCTATTTGAGTTTTCGTAGTTGATTTATCAAACAAAGAGGCGTTTCATAGTCGTCACTTAGATAATTTACTGTTCATACTATTATCACATTGATACGATTATCTGAACAGTTCTATAATAATTACGAAGCTTCTCGACCCAAGTGCTCTTGTGTGTTTAGCAAACATCCCAATATCAAGTAGGATATTTTCACTAGTTTCATACTGAGTTAGTTATGGTTTCTTGGTAGATGTTAAAATGTTTATTCATTGGAATTTAAACTGAAAAATAGTTAATTAGAGATTCAATACCTATTAGTTATCATCACTTAAAGTCATTGATTCAGAAATCATGTCTTCATCTGAACACAATAAACTTGTGAAATTTTGATTTTAACTGACAAAACTCATCAAGCGAACAATATTCATTACAGTTTATACTTACTCTGAGTAGAGAAAATTTGCACAACAGAAGCATAACTGATAACTTGTGCAGCAGTTTCGGTTAGCTGTCCAGTAATAGTCAATCTGTTTAATGTGGTGTTTTTTTCCTCTACAAGTAATATTACAGTATCACGTATAACGTCCAGTGCCTTTGGTTGAACCTAAAAACAACGGAAGTGTCAATCAATGCTTTTTATGACTATACTGTCTACAGTAAGAATAATAATGATAGGTCAGGAACAAAGATAAAAGAACCAAATGATAGTTTTAATATAAAATTTGTTCACTGCAAGCACAACGAATCTCATGAACTTTGTTTTTATCTTCACTATAAATTTTTTTAAATTGATCGATTCTGGCACATTTCAGAATTAGTCAGCTATAGAAATCATCTGTCTCTGCTCATGAAATTCCGAGTTTCATGTTAGTTATAAGCATATAATTTATACCTGCGATTTACTGAAAGTAATGTGGAGGTATTCATTGAAGCACTCTAAATATTTTTATGCACTGTATAACTTGAAAATGATTCCACCGGTATTAACTTATGATAGCAAGAATTTCTGCTTCTAAAAGAGTACTTTAATCTTTTAATTTATTCACGTACATTTCACATGTTTCTTCGATAAAGTCATATTATTCACTGTTACGCCTGCACGTAAACACGTCATTTTGATATGCTTGAACTATTACGAGTCTACCTAGTCGGAAGACCAGAGCGAGGATCGAGGATCCGGCGACAAGACATGCTATTCGAATCCAATTATCCCAACCCCCAAATTGAGTAAAAATAAGAAGACTCGATATGAAGTAGAATCTATATTCTATCAGCATCCAGAAAGTACGAGGCCCAAGTCCAGGAGAGGACCAGGACCCCGGAATTGACAGTTAGGACGACCAATAGGAAATAAGATTTGAAGTGACATTGATAGTCAGGACAACCAATAAGAAACAAGAATGGAGCACGTGACATTGATATCCAGGACGACCATAAAATTGACCAGTAGGAATTAACCAATAGGAATTGACCAATAATTCTCTTAGGATATTGGATGAATATCCTGACATTCACAGTATATTATGAGTCTTATAAAGAAGTCTCATAAACGCATCATGTCTTTATGGATAAGCATAAATTTGTAAAACGTATGTGAGATGTACAACCATTTTGTAATTTTTTCTGTTTATTTTAATGCTAAACATGCTTCGGATTTTTGGTTCGTACGTTTAATATCAGACGGATTCACTAGGTAGGGATATGCACAAAAATACTGCATAGTGTTCGAAATATAAAGTAAAAAGATCATTCATAGCTGTGTTCATTAATCGTGACCTTGAATCATGGATTATTTAGCTATTTTTGCATTAACAGGATTACTAGTTTTCTGTTTATCAATAAAACTCGTCATTGAAAGTGAAGAACCAATAGAGAACTTACAAATATATTGGCGTAGCATACTTCTGATGAACCTCCAAATTTATCAGAAACATAGACACATGCATCATGTGGACTGTACATATAAGGCACAACGAAACAAGTACTATGGCGATTCCCAACTGCAAGAACAATATTGATGGATGAATTCCTAACTAGTAAAAAAGATTGTTGAAGAACATACCCAGTAAGCATAACAGTTCAAAAACAAAAGGAATAATTACATTTTCAATAATTTTTCACTAACACTGTAATCCACCTGTCAGTCGATAAACGAAATTTAACTATCGATGACAATAAATATTTCTAAGATGGAGAATTATTTCATATCTATGGGTTTCCACATTATTCCAACTACTAATAAACTAATATTCTGTCAAGTTTCGTAGAGATCAGTCACTTGTAAAAGAAAAAGCTAATACTTTATGTCCCGTATTCAAGAAGGCCTAAGACAAATATTTCGTTTCTCGTATAAACGTATAAAATAGTATGCTTCAATGTATTAACCTTTTATAATCATGGGCATCTTCAATAAACCTAATTAATTATCATGGCATCTATAATATAGTAAAGAAACATGTTTTTAATGGTCATGATGAAATGTTTTTGATTAATTCTTTAATTTCATGAGTGATTCAGCTTTAAAATGATTGCAAAGTGTAAATACGAACTGGCAACACAATAATTCTCCAGAAAACGTTCATCAAAATGTTAAAGTATTTCATTCAGAAATGCCTAACAAGCAAAAATATTCATGATTCAGTGACTAATTAATGAAACTAGTAACGATCACGTTTAAACATTATCAAACCCTTGTTATTTTTGCTCTGAATTGTAAACTACTTCGAATATTAAAGTTTTTAAACTAGGAGATCAATTATTCTACTTACATTTGAAAAGACAATTAAATTAGAAAGTTAATGATTTTTACTACTATTCCCCTTTTTTAACAATTATCATCGATTATTTACTTGTAGATTGACTATTTCCAAAAAATTATATCTAGAATAAAGATTTAGGTTTATTTTAATACCTTTAATAGTTAGTTGATTTTGTCTTAATGAAGAATGGTAAAGCAGTGGGACCAGACAACATTCCAGCTGAGGCACTGAAAGCAGACAGAGTAGGAACTATGAAGATATTCCATTTTCTGTTCGGTACGATTTAGGAGAGAGAACAAGTACAATCAGACTGGAAAGATGGAAACCTCATCAACATGCCAAACAACGATCTCAACAAGAGTGGGAACCATACACTCTACAATTAATACCAAGTTAAGTCTTCAGTAGTGCGTTGTTAAGCCGAATGAAAGATTCCCTTATACGCCCAACTTCTAGATCAGCAGGTTGGAATTCGTACAGATCGATCGCGATATTACGGATCATTGTGGAACTAAAAATTAAATCGAACCCGCCACTCTACATTAACTTCATTCACTATGGATGGACAAGATGATACTATGGAGGCTTCTTCAACAAAATGGAGGGCCTGTGACGACACTCCACATTATACGGGATCCTTATGGTGGATTACACTGCAAACTCGTTCATGGAGGCCAGCTTACAAACTCGTCCCAAATGAAGATCGGTGTCAGATAAGGTTTCTCACTCTCCTCATTTCTCTTTTTCGTGGTTTTCGACTGGGTTATGAAAACGTCAATATCTGAGGGAAGCCCAGTGAGAAGCTGGGATGCAGTTGGATGATCGGGACTTCACAGATGATCTAGCTCTTCTACCGCACATGCAACAATAAATGCAGGAGAAAACGACCAGCTTCTGCACGGTAGATCTGACACAGATGTGAAGACACAGATTGGCAAATCGAGGGCAGCATTTATGCATTTGAAGAACATTCGGAACTCAAAACAACTGTTGACAAACACAAAAGTCATCATTTTCAATACAATCGTCAAGACAGATCCTTTGTATGCGGCGAAATCTTGGAGAACTACGAAAGCCATCATCCAGAAGATACAAGTGTTTTGTTTATGCAAAATACTAAAGATCCTCTGGTCAGACACCATCAGCAGCAACCTAGTACGTGAGAGAACAAACCAGATTTCATCAGAGAAAGAAATCGGGGAGAAGCACTGCAAGTGGATATGACATATGTTGAAGAAAGCACCCAAATACGTCGCAAGACAAGCCCTCACTTGAAATTGTCAAGGTCAAAAGAGAAGTGGAAGACCAAATAACTCAGTGGGCTGAGAGCTGAAAGCAGATATGAAAAGAATGAATGGCAATAGGCTATAATTGGAATGGAAAGTCCAGGACAGAGTAGGTTTTAGAATGCCGATCGATGGCCTATGCTCCGCTTAGGTAATAGGCGTATGTTAGTCGATAAATTATTTGGTCTTGGAAACTAAGTTGGAAACATAAGTTGATGGGAAGATGATTGTAATTTACGTAACAATAACATCTGTCTCTTTATGCATACTTTAACTACGGTCCATATTACATTAATATCGAAAGATTTTTATCAATAATTATGGTAAAACTGAACTTAAACTGAGAATTCATACCACGAGTATGGCGCCTAAACTTCCTTATGTGTTGAAACCAAGTTTCAAATAATAATAGGTCATTAAGTCTTGAGAAAGACTGTGTCGTGTGGTTATTATTACGTTTTTATTTTTCGAATCCGTTTATTTCCGTAGTAAAAGCACTTGTTTTGTATTCTCCTAGCTTAGTTTACTTCAGAATACTGAGATTTCAAATCATCATTTAAAATTAGTGAATCTTCATATATCTGTCTAACTAAACGCTCAAGGAGCATTGCGTGCTCTTAAGGAGTAGTTTTCTAACGGTCGTTCGGTTGTTTTCAGTCTATAGAACACAATTCCCAGCCGTGAGAATACTCAAATCAGTCAAAGATGGTCAAACAATGAGTAAACAATAATTCTGACAAACGCAAAGTACTTGAAAAAAAAATATGTAACAAATTAAGCAAATTTAAGATGAATCATTTATTAAATCATTAAAAACAATGGTCAGTAACTTACGAAAGAATGTATACGTCAATGGACTAACAATACTAGTGAAATTTGTACAGTTTACACACATGATTGTATCTTGCAAAGTATATGTACATGTGCCTGGTGTGGGTCTTGGCAAATATCTAAACCGTAAACAAGATGTTCCTATATCACTGTTCTTACTTAAAGTAGAACAGACAATACATCCACTGACATTATTTGACTTGTTCATAAAGTATCCCTTTTTTATATGCCATGATGATGTTAATACGCCTGTTGACATAAAGAAGAAAACAATGAACTACACTAACAATAAAGTAACTATACTAAAAGCTAATAAAAAGAACATATTTCAAATGAGAGACCAGTATAAATGTTAGGAAATTTTCAGTTTAATGTACCTAATTATTTGTAGAGTAAAACGTGCAATATTTGCTTTGTTTTAAAGAGTACATTACAACTCAAAACTCTAAAGTTCAGACAATCATCATCTCAGCACTATTTGAATTTATCAATAGGATATAATTCTCTTTTATCATGAACATTCTCATAATTATTCCGAAATGATCAGTGTTTCCAAAAATTACAGACTGAATAATATTTTTAATCTGATTATCTCAAACAATATTTCATTGCATTTTTCTACTTACCTTCTGTGTAGATATCTTGTTGAGTTTGATTGAATGGTAAAAGTGAGCCGTCTGAATACATTTCTCTAATAGTCCATTTAAATTGCATATCTGGGCTTAAGGTTCCAAACGCAATGAAAATTGTTACATAAAGATCATCCGATTCAGCAATAAACCAACTGGTTAAATTTGATAAGTCGAATTCTAGATTGTAACACATATATGGTATACTGCATCTATAATTGTATTTAAATAAGAAACATAAATGAGAAAAGTTATTGCATGACTTCAGTTCATGATAAAACTTACAATAGAAGTACATTCTAAAGTGTGTTTTGAAAATTATAAACATTCCCTTGTGACAATAATTTAGCCTATCAATGTGCTCTGTGTTCAAGTTCTTTTGTTTTATAATTGATCTAAATTATCAACCTGAGATGTCTGTTATCAATCAGTTATGTCATTTCAAGAGATTTCAGTTTCTCAAAGGTCAAAAATAGATAATCAGACTATGATGAAAGGACAGTTTTATTTTCGTCACAATTGTGTTCATTTCAGTGTGAACAAAAATTTCGAATGTACAATATTTTGACGATCGAGTTCAAAACCTTTTCAGGATAATTGAGTAGTTTTAGATAAGTTTATCTATCTTTTAAGTTATGTAGTTTGTCAATCAACTGAAATATTAAAACGTTGCTAACATTGAAATTTCAACTATTAAATTTGCTAGGCCACAAGGAACTTATAAGAATTAAGTTATTTTTGATTTCAGTCTCGATTCAACAATGAAAACAATGTTACATAACATAATATTTTTACAGATTCTTCCTGTTATCTGTTATATGTTTCAACAATTAACCTTCATAGAATTTTCCGGCTAATGTATTATTCTTACTAATTTATACAACTGCCTCACTGAAATATTTTCTACTGTTTAACCTATTCATTACATGTATCATATAAACTCATATTTACGCCAAACATGTATCCAAAACAAGTCGAAACCGCTAGAACATAAGGTTGTTGGACAGGAGTATGGTCCAATGACTGCTTGAACATATATACCAAGTGCACCGAAAGCTTGCAAGCAGAATAAAAACCACAGGGATTCCACACTTTAGAATTTTCCATCTTCCAGTGTATTTCTTTTTTATACAGTTTGATCGTTGCCGAAAAACTTATAAACTCAAACTTGTCCATCACTATAAAACTACGGTTATCTCAAATCGAAAGGAAATGGTAATAACAAATATTTATGTCAAATGAGTTTTAAATTACGACTATATAGTTTATTTTTGAAATTTATTTATCAAGACTGGTAACTCTCATTTAGTATACTAACACCTCGAACTTGTAAAAGTTAGTTGAAGTTCAACTGAAATATTGGTTAGTTTGCATAACTAAACATTCCAACCACTTTTATTTCACACTTAAATTTTCGTCACAAAGTCTTCTTCAACATTTTTCAACTCCAGATAGATGATAGTGCAGCTCGATCACCTTTAATTCTGAGATCCCATATTTGTTCCGACGATCATCGCTTTTTACAATTTAGGTGTATATTCAATTAGAGTAGCAAACTGAAAGCATTTTTACGAAGCTCTGGTTTTTACTAGCATTAATTTTCTGAAACCTTTATTCTATTAATTATTTTAATGACATTAACAAAACTTGATCGCATGTTAATGAAAAAATATCTATATATATTTATACATATGATTAAAACATGCCTTATTGAAAAGGCTGGAGCTACTTCGCTTGTAGTTAACAGTCTCATTGTAGCTCTCCCACTCCGTTTGGGTGGTTTACTGCCGATAACTGTAAATTCATATGTTTTATTTATTCTAAAGTTTTCCGTTGTAAAGCATAAAGTACCATTGTTCGTATCAATTATTCCTGGACCATCACCAAAACAACCTGTGTAGTCTGAACTGTATTGATAACCCGGAGGTTTGGGTGAAATCAACTTCGCTGATAGTTCTTCTCCAACTTGTCGGCAATACCATATCCAAGATCCGATTCCCTATCGAAATTAAAATAAGGACTAGGATTTATAACTTTTACACCAGAAATTGATGATGTGAAGTTCAGTTAATTTGACTATCGGTCAGGTAAGCAACACAAACCGAGGTCATTTCACAGATCGAGGATGGGTAGAAATAGAGCAGAATAATTTCAAAAATGGCTGATACTATACAGGGTTGGGCCTAATGTGTTAGACTAAAATTGATTAGCGAGTGAGACTAATTTATTGGGGATTAGGAAGGAAATTAAATGACTAAATAATGATGCACACTTGTGTGGCTTTAACCTGCATAACCGCTCTCGTTGAATTGGCCTTTATGTATGTTGAATGTTTAGATGAGGGTATTTTTGTATATACATCTTTTGATGGCTACCTCAGAACGCATAATTTCACTACAATGGCTTAGATGAATCGAACTGACAACTTGAGTAGAAGCAGGAAACATAAATTACTTATTTGCAAATATTAGACTAATCCAAAAGAAATCGTTGAAACTACCTAAGATAGACAATTGACCGATGAAATTACTGAGAAATCTTTCAACAGTAGGATGATTTCCTCTGTAGTGAGCAGCGACCATTGTGCAGAGGTTTAGCACACAGATCAGGCAAAACAATAAGAACATTTTTCTTCCATGATAGTGAATACGAATTCGAATACTAGCAAAATTCGTTGCTTAGTTGAAGAACTATGGTATCAACTTATTTCCTTAGTTTTTCAGTATCTATGCTTGCCATTCACTTAGACGTCGCGTTAATAATTTTAGGGTTACCAAAATGGAAATCAACAAAAACTAGACTACTCTCACCCATCTCAATGACATAACTGTTCTAAAGCATTAAAAAATGTTACAGTAACTAGATGAATACCTGAATACCTAATGCCAACCACATATTTACTCCTAATCAATGAGTTTCACGGAGGTTCAGAAACATGAATACAACTATTCTTTACACTGTAAAGTGAATCTAACTTTTATACAAAGTATTTAATTTCCCAATAGTAACATATATTCAATCACAGAGATCACATATAAATCAATTAGAATTTCGTGAAACACGCTATTGCCCTATAGTTTTTTTTGTGGTAAAGAATGAACTGTGATATGCAATTAAATATCTTACATCCAATTAATTAAAATAACTGAAATTTAAAACAAAACATATAATCTACCTGTGGAGCATTTACATCATTTATGGCAGGATCAAGCGAATAAACTCCAGGTTTTAAGCATATCTCATTTTGAGATAAGTCAGTTGTCTTCATGATTGGATTACCCACATCAAACTGAACTAATAATGGTGGTGGAAGAACTACTATATATGCACTTTCTGAGATAATGTATGGTACTTCTTGAGGAGGTGTAAAATACACTGAACATGTAGCTTTATATGTCCCAGGTGGGAGAAAGTTAGCTGGTATACCGAGTCTTAATGTTTTCGAACTAGGTTGTTCAGATAGTGAGATTGTCCTCAGTATCTGTGCAGTATCCATATCAATAGAGTATAAAGTCCACAGTTTCTCATTCGGAACTGATAGCAAACAATCTGACACAGTAAGTACTGCTTCAATATTTGTAATCTCTGAAGAAATTGATTTGATTGGAAAATTGGTTAATTGTGATGTTACATTAGATATAGATATTTTAGGTGGAGGACATGCTGAAGATGTAACAGGTATGTACAATGTGGTATTAACTATTGTCGATGGACTCATAGCCTGGATAGACACGTACTGTGGTCCACTTGAAGCATATTGAACGCTCAGTGAAAATGTTAAATTGATTGGTTTATCTTGCAAACGTAAGTAACCAGGACATAAAGAACAGGCAGAGGTAGGATCTGATATTTTTGGATAATAAACTGAACCAACACCATCTGATTTTTTAACACACAAACACGCATCGTTTGGATAGGCTTCAAATGAAATACGTATTGTGCCTCGCTGATTTGGTTTCAGCGCACCATTACCGACAAGATAAGATTGCAAACCACGTAAAGAAGTTCTAATTGAAATTTCTTTTGAAATTGATTTTGCGCTCACTAGATTTGAAGCTAGTACTATAGCTTTAAATTCTCCAAACTAAATTATGCAAAAGGATGTTTAATGAAAGAAAAAATCGTTCAGCTATCATTGTTTGAATCAAATTGTTCTGTCAATATTTTTCAAATAATTCCAGAGGTCTAGACTGTAAAAATATCCTAATGAATTATTAATTATCATAGAAAAGAAAATTCTTTCGCACGTCGCATTAGTAATCTTAAGAGGAAAACCAGATTGGAAATTAGAATAGACAATTAACGATAATGCTGGAGAAATATTGACTCACATATGTCATTGACTATATGCAAATACAAGAATATCAAATAGCGAATCCCTACAGAGTGATCTGACAAAACAAGGAATCGTTTGGTAATGAAGATAGACCAATCGCATTTCTTAAACACACTAATCAAATGGTTTAGACAAACTTTTAATATTAATGGACATTACTCTTGATTTGACTCTATTCATGATGTAAAATTGATTGCGGATTGCATTTTGAATGTTCTGGTTCAAGACAAAACAGTTTCGTTACTTATGACTAACTAACTTGGTTTAATTCTCTATTTTAATTAACAATAAAATGAGATAAAATCTTTGGACAATAATGTACGCATAAATTTGTTTCAGAAAATAGATTTCAATTGAGATGTTACTCAAAGCTAAGTAAATCTAAACCGATCATTTGTTTTCTTATGGAGCAGTATGACATAACAATGTAAGATTTTTCCTACAGTATACTGGAAATCCGTAATGTACAACCGTAAATCAGCAAGAGATTTGGCTAAAAATATTCACGTTTTGTAGTGTTCTAGTAATAATCATACACTTGCTGGTGATGAACTTCGATAAGAGTTCCAAGAATCGGAACAATAGTGACTACTGTTCAAAAACCAATTCACGTGTTTATATGCAGCTTCAGAGCACAACAAACAAAGGGTATTTAATTTCATAACTATGCAGTATAGCATACTGAACGAAAATGCGGTCGATAATAAAGTACATCAATACAATACAAGTAAATGTATGAACTTTCATAACTGTCGGTTAACGTTCTTGTCATAAATGAGTACAGTCAAAGCCTGATATGTTCATTTCTATGAATTCAGGGGTCGTCAAAATCCATCATCATGCATTAAAATTACGCACAAATAAATATTTAGCTTAACTCACTCACACTGAATAAAAGAACAACCTAAAACTGTCTTGCTCCGAGTATAGAGTCACCTTATATGAATCAATAGTTCCATTATAACAATTCAGTATACTAACAGAGTAAAACCCCAGTAATGCAACTGTACTGATCAATTAGTTTTAGATATTTTATAATGATTCCTCTAAGCTAAAGCTATGTTCAAGAATTAACACTATGTAATTCAAAAGAAATCAGGCGAAAGAAATGTGAGGCCATCCTCCAGTGTTATAATGTAATCGACAACTATCTGAATATGCTCGCACAGAAAACTTCTTTACTCACAGTATTTCATAGTACTGAAATAATAATGAGGTTAGTTTAGTCTATGAACACGATTTCTTTAAAACTGAAGATAGCGCTAATTTTTTTCACATTATCAATGTAAATTGTTAGGTGATTTTTTAGTAGGATATACTGTTAGATGGAGATCATTTGGTATAAAGAAGGAATGACTGTTCATGACTACATACGAAATATAGTTATTTCATCGTACGGTGAATTTCGACAATGGACTATTTTCCGAGTTTATTTCAATCTTAAAAAGTCCTATGAAAAGTTTACAATTCCTTTTCAATAATATGCACACTGATTTAATATCAAACTAGCCAATATTTTAGTCAATACTCTGTATCGAAAATTCATGTACCCGCCCCGACCTACCTCTTTAAATGAGTAGAAAAAGTAACTGTTCCAAACAGTTCCTGAGTCCACTGTCAGATTGTTAGTTTTATTCATAATTGAATAAGTGATATTAGCCACATTGTTTGGTTTTCCATCTGCAAGTACTTGGAATTTTAATTGAACTCCCAGTGGATATGAATTTCCATCTATGCCATAACCAGGATCACCAGTCGATGCAACTGTTACTATTAGATCGATTTGTTGGAATACACCAAAGGCAGCGATCTAGAGAATTTCAATAGATTTATACTGGTTTATGATTAATTGAATATATTAGTCAAATAATTAATTTTGACTACTCCTATGAAACAAAATGTATTGGCCTATATTCTAAGAGTTTACTTTCTAATTACTCTTCAAATGTGGATAGGTGTAGTTATATCTGTCAACAGTTCAATCATCGCCCATTAAGTCCAAGCCCATTTATAAGGCTGTCTTTAACTTGTTATTTTTGATAATCTACCATATTAAGAGTAATCTACCAAAAGCTACTCTAAATTTTTCATCGCTAAAACCTATTAACATACTATTAGTAAACTGAAACTATCCAATGTAAACAAGTAGGTCCCTCCTCATTCATTACTTTGGCTGCTTTAAAACCAATAAGGTTTCACTTATCTCTGTTATATATGGCGGATAAACACATACATTTTCACAACTTAAATTTATCTTCTTTACTTGCATTGATTTCATACTCTTGGTCATCTCACATAAACTCATAAAGTAAGTGATCTCCTATTTACCTTTGGTAGGGTTAGTAATCATATTATAATTTCTCTAATCCTAAATTATCTATATGTAACATCTCATCATTGTACTTCAATGATTGGTCGTTCAACTTATTCGATAATAGTATGGGCTTTATTGTATTTGTAATAATTCGATAACAGTATCAATCATTGTATATTTGATTGTGTATGTACATGCTTACTCGCTCATTTTACACGTCTAGCCTGTTATTGCCTGACTATAAATACTTAGTCATTGTTTCAGCGCATGAGAGTTGACTCACTCTCCTTCTCCAATTCGCTTCGCTTTGCTTTGCTTGTAAGCTTTTCATTCTCATGTCTGTCTGCGTAGATTATTGCATGAAATAAATTCATCTTCAAACACCATATTTGGCTTCTTATTACCACCGCAGCATGAACGGGGTTTGCCTAAGTATGAATATACGGAAATGGACGGGAAGATTTATTTGATTGCACACTCAATCATTCGTTAACACTAGAGTCCAGTCGTCAGGTGCTAGATATATATTCATTCGATTAGGATTCTCACTATTCTATTGGAATAACAGTCTGATCGGAGTAGACTTTAAGTATTCGTCATTTCAAATTTATGTCCTCTGATTTGAGAACTGTTTGTCATGATCAGTAATTTGGACTCGTAACTACGAATTAGCATGTGCTCATTTTTTATCAAATATATGAATTGAAAGAAATCTCATTGTATAAACGAACAATAATTAAATAGTGTCAACTTACCTGAGTATTTCTTGTCATGTTACTTACAACATTGTCCAAAGTAATAGAAGCCTGAAAATAATTTAAATCGGTTAAAGTATGACTAATTTTTTCTGGTTGATTTGCCACAGTCAACATTCCTTCTGAGGGTGTACTTCCATCTCCCCACATCACTATATATTTAGCAAGTGTTGGAAAGTCGGCAACTAATCCAGTGTATGTTAAAGTAAACGTGACCGACCCTGAAATATAAGGCATTATATTTGGTTATAAGGTTGCGATTCCGGAAACATTTTTAGCAAGTAATTTACATCTAATATATAGCTAATTTATAAACTATCCTTAACTTTTTTTTAGCATTTTTGATCGTTGAAAGTGTTGGCTTAGGTACTGAGGTACTTCTCATCACATCACAAAATTCTTACAAATGATAAAACGTGTCAGTTTATTGCATGGAATCGACTTATACTTCATTCTAATTGAACAATACAGCCAATATCTAAATGTTAATGTTGTTTTAAATGCCAAGTATGTCAACAATAGTTGAAATAAAAGACTTATTAATTAGTTGCTAACTATATGTTTAATTTGAATCAGCAAATAAAGAGCTTACAGTTAGCGCTGATTTAATAAAACACATTGATGCCTATCCTTGGTAAAAACAATAGACTTGATCAGGATTATTTAATCACACATAAGAAAGATGTGGTTAGGCAGGAATTTTTTAGCCTCACAAGTTATAAATTGAATTGTGATGCTTTTATGCTGACATCAGATTCGTTTAGTAAACCTTGATAAAGCTTATTTTTATAGAGATTAGTCTTGCTTGTTTATTATTGAACTAATTTAATAATGTTTAATAAACACAACGTACAACAACTCAAATTCTGTGCTTAAACTTCAACTGCATCAATAACTAAGTTGACCAGTTCATTATCAAACAGATCCGATTGACGAAATCCAATCAATCAATCGTGTAAATAGCAGAATGATGTGTTCAATGTTGTTTGAACATTTAATGAAGTATTTTGTCAGGTTGAATATGTGATACTGAACAAGTGAACTAATTCTTCCTAAAGCAAGAGACCAGATGAATCACAATTATCACATAATTGTACACGATGAGTTTAAAACTACTACACATCTCTCGTTTACCATTACTCGATTTCATTTCAAATATGCACCTTTTTTACACAGAACTTTCATTTTCTCAAGAAAGTAAAAAATGGTAGTTGTTCAATTGCAGTACAATATTCCTATAGTGGGAATGGACATATCGAAAACATGAAACCTTAGTGGAAATAATGACTCAGCTTTAAAAGTGTAATGATCGGGTTTGGTTTTTGCGAAACCATAATTCATTCACCCTAACCGATCTTATAACCTTACTTGACAAAATAATTCAAATCAAACCTTTGAACTTGAACTTACAAATTTATTTCATGACTATGTATTCAACAATCATAATAATAGCAAGGAGGAAGTCAAATACTCACCAGGTGGGTATACTGCATGACCGCTATATGCGATATCCACATTTACTATTTTATTCCGTACATCAACTATGAGTGAACATGATCGGTTACTGACCATGTTCATAGCTTGTATCTCTTCATAATACAAACCGGCAACAGGATAATTGTAGTTTATCTCCACTAATTTAGGTACTAAAATATATTATGAAATTAAAATACCGGGTAAAATTAATAAAAGTGAGTTGAAAACCTGGTTTTGAATAAAAATTAATATGCGAAATTAAATCTGTTATAGCTATTCGTTTTTTTGAATGCATTCAACTAAGGTCATCATGTAAAGCGAGTACTCGATAAAGTTTTGCTTAAAAAGACAAGATGAGTAAAGAAATATTCTTCCAATTAGTTCTTCAATAAGGCTCTACACTTTTTGAGTCTAACGAGTCTTGAAGACGAACTAAAACTTATTCCGGACTCACTAAGCAAGCACAGATATCTATTAACGTTCTTAGTGAAAAATATGTATGTAACTAAACCAAAAGTAAAATCCCTGACAGCACCATAAAAGCTTACAATCTTGAAATTATAGTTCTAAGGTGACGTAGACAGTGAAACCGTGACTCGAAGAATGAGGAAAGTCTTAGAAAACACATTCATTGCAGCAAGATAATGTCGTACGTTCTTCGGCTCGTCCATACCAATTTCACGAAATAGTGATGAATTGCATAGTTCCTCTGCCTCTTTATGTATTTCCATTTCAACTTCTCCGGCGTAGCGCACAACTACACAATGCATCATCGTATTTCAGTACATCAACCCTCATCCTTTACCAAAGAATAAAGGAGATTAATAAGAAGCTCTCTCTTATCGCGTCTGGTGATATTTTTCGATATTTGTAACATTTTTTCAAATCTAAGCATTATGATCACTGTTATGCCATAGCGAAAAAAATCTGTAGACTAAGTTGCATAGTTGCACCGAGTAAAATAACTGTTACTGAATTGTCTGTTTACGTAGACAAAAGTTCAGAGGCTAATTGCGAAGCCTTATACATTTCAGTTTGAATCCTTTGAATATTTACGGTTAGGATTTTGCACACTGTAGAGTAGAATGGTTTCTGCTTCTCGTTCAGTCTGGTTGCTAAACGAACCATCATGACTTGATACACTGTAGTTAACTTATTGAGGTATGTGTTTGAGACATGGGGAGATAACCAGTCATGCAAATCGACTTATTCAAAATGTGTGAAGCAATTTTCAGAAACCCACTTTTCCACGACTTAGGCCTACATAGTGACGAGAAAAACAACGTTCTTTAATTAAACATTTAGCCGGGATAGGTCAACACTACCAACATTTACAAACGATTTAAGTAATATTAATCTACTGAACCCTTTTTATCTCTGTCAAAGAATTTACACAGTAAAATCATTAACATCAGTAATTTTACACTGATATGTAATAATTTTAGTGTTGTTTGTTTATTGTACTATGCATCGTTAGAAATGCAGTTATGATTTTGTTCTCAGCCATATTATACCATCATCTTTTCTTCAATTGATCCAAACAAAATTAGGTTTTTTTTACTTTGTAACTTAACATCAATCTACTTGAACAAATCACAGAGTTAGCTGACAAATAAGGATTAATAAGTGAGATAGACACAAAACAAATCTGTCGAGTATTAACTTAGATAAATTGTGAACGTGGACGTTATTTAAAGTAACCATCTTTTGCCGATTCAAAATTTTCCATTAAATGTACATGATTGTTTGTAAATCATACTTATTGATTTGATTTTGACCAATTTGGTCTCGTGTGCTGACAAAATGCAGAGTCTTCTGACCACCCTAAGCAACAATGCAAGCATGTTCGGGATGCGGTTCTCACCCTCGATATGAAAAATGTTGCTTCAAGATTGGGTTGCATCAGCACTTGAACTAGTGATACGGAGTGAAATAGTCGAACGTGTAGACCGCTTCACTTATCTTGGGAGTCTCGTCAGTGCTGATGGCCTGTTGACTGACGAAATCTCAGCATGGATACAGAAGGCTCGATTGGCTTTTGCCAACCTGCGTCACTTATGGCGTAGGCGAGATATCCGTTTGCTGACTAAAGGACGAGTCTACTGTGCAGTAGTTCGCTCCGTCTTACTTTATGGCTGTGAAACATGGCCAATGAGAGTAGAAGATACTCGTCGGTTATTGGTTTTCGATCATAGGTGTCTTCGAAGCATTGCTCGTATATCCTGGGACACCTGAGTGAGCAACGCTGTTATTAGGAAACGGTGCTAGGTAAGAATGGCAGATCAATAGACGCAGTAGTGACACTTCATCAGTTGAGGTGTTTGGGGCATGTGCTGCGTCTGCCTAACCACCGACTGCCTCGAAGAGCTTTGTTTTGTAGTGTAGGAGTAGGTTGGAAGAAAGCTGGGGGCGGCCAAAACAAAACATGGCGGAAATCCATGAAGTCATTGACGAGTGGACTTAGCCATGTCGGCAGTTGTCGACTACCTGGTTGGGGTCCGCGAGATAATAATAATCGATGGTTAGAGACCCCGAATGACATGGCTCAAAACTGTTTGCAATGGCGCCGGTGCATTTATTCTTTGTGTTCTCTCAAATCCGAATCTTCTGGATTTTTCAACACCGTTGGATTTGAATTGACACATATCTCTGTGCTGATGTGGTATGGAAACATGAACTGATGTACTTACGTACGAAGTTCTACGTTGCATCTGACTGACTGACTGATACTTATTGATTGTGTTTTGCTCTCTTGATAACTATGAACAACTCATTGTATCTACCGATACTGTGATAATTTCTTATTTAGCTTTGTTTGGTTGACCAACTTAACAACAGAGGACGTATCTCTCACTTTAAAAATGATTCACATTCGTTTACCTTGATAAGTGATATTTATTCCAGTAAATTGTTGTCCAGAAAGCTTCAAAATACCACAACCATATGAGATGCCACTAAACAAATTAATGAATTATTTATGCCGTAACAGATGCATAATTCTACCAGTCTTAACACATAATATTGTCTAATTCGTGAATGCAGTCCTTTTAAATTAACAACAATTATGAACTTATAACTGTTTAGCAAACTTCACCTGTAGCCCCTCTGGAGCTACTGCCGGTCCCAAGCCCAGATAAAGGAAGAGGGTAGGGCTTGAAGTTGGCAACCCCATCCTGTAGAAAACCAAGTCGCCTAAAAAGTACTAACCAGAAAAATCAGTTCATACCATTTAAACTCTTCCTGGGAGTTAGAAGGTCTTCCTTCAGAAAAGTTATGACGTCTCATGATGAAAGCTGAGTTCCATCGGAAGTCACGAGGCCGCTGCCTCTTCTGACAACCAGAACAACCATTCTTTAAGGTACATTAAACGTTCAAACCTTGTGAAAAACTGGAAGACTATACCTAGTTGCTGCAGAAATGAGAGGATACAACCTGGAGGTGCTTAGAATCAGTGAAACGCATTGAACACACGCAGGACAACTGAGACTAGCTTCAGGGGAACTGCTGTTATACTCTTGTCATGAAGAGGAAAATGCCTCACATACACATGGAGTTGCACTGATGCTGTCCAAACAAGCTCAAAAGGCACTGATAGTATGGGAATCTCATGGACCCAGGATCATTAAAGCATCCTTCGAAACAAGGAAAGAGGACATTACAATGAACGTCATCCAATGCTATGCACCTACCAACGACTATAACGAAAACATTAAAGATCAATTCTATGAGAGGCTTCAGTCAGTCGCACATAAATGCCTATCAAAGGATTTGACCAATCTGATGGGAGACCTAAATGCCAAGGTTGGCATAGACAACAATGGATGTGAAGACATCATGGGACGAAATGGACTGGGAGAAAGGAACGAAAATGGTGAGAGATTTGTAAACCTATGTGACTTCAACAAACTGATCATAGGCGGCACAATATTCCCACACAAGCGCATACACAATCCATCGTGGATTTCACAGGGTCACACTAATCAGAACCAAATCAACCATATCTGTATCAATATAAAGTTCAGAAGGACTATAGAGGATGTGAGAACCAAGAGCGGAGCTGACATAGCCTCAAACCATTACTTGCTGGTCGTTAAAATGAAACGGAAACTCAAGAAGCATGAGACAATCGTACGATACAACAAAGAAACTCTCTGGAAACTATCGTAAACCAGAACGACCAGTGAAAAGCAACAAAGGCAAAGTAATCACCAACGTTGGTGAACAGTGAAACAGGTGGGTAGAGCACTTTAAGGAACTCTTGAATCGACCAGCTCCACTGAACAGACCCAACATCGAAGCAACATCCACGGACCTCCCAATCGATGTTGGCCTACTAACAATTGAAGAGATTAGCGTGGCCACTAGGTAAATAAAGAGCGGCAAAGCAGCAGGACCGGACAACAACCAGCAGAGGCATTGAAAGCACATATGGAAGCAACTGAAAACATATTCCACATTCTCTTCAACAGGATTTGGGATAAAGAACAAGTGACAACAGACCTCATCAAAATACCAAAGAAAGGCGATCTCAGCGAGTGTGAGAACTACAGAGGCATCACACTTCTTTCAATACCAGGCAAAGTCTTGAACAGGGTATTGTTAAACAGAATGAAGGAATTCGTAGACGCCCAACTTCGAGATCAACAGGCTGGATTTCGTAGGAATCGATAGTGTACAGACCAAATCGCAACTTTACGGATCATTGTGGAACAATCGATTGAATGGAAATCACCACTCTACATCAACTTCATCGACTACGAGAAAGCACCCGATAGCGTGGACAGGACAACACTGTGGAGGCTTTTTCGACAATACGGCATACCTGAGAAGATAATCAACGCCACTTGGATAAACCTGCAAACTCATGCGCGGAGAACAACTGACGGAATCATTCAAAGTAAAGACCGGTGCTAGGCAAGGTTGATTGCTCTTACCCTTTATGTTTCTCCTGGTGATCGACTGGATTATGAAGACGTCGATATCTGGAGGGAAGCACGTTATACAGTGGATAACCAGGATGCAGATGGATGACCTGGACTTCGCAGATGACCTGGCTCTACTATCGTACACATAACAACAAATGCAATGTAGCAGCAGCAAGATTCTCCGACACAAAACAACATGCGCCAACCAAATCACTCTTGATCGAGATGCCTTGGAGGATTTAAAAACCTTTACATATCTAGGCAGCATTATTAACCAGCAAGATAGATCTGATGCGGATGTAAAGTTGCGGACCGGTAAAGCAAGGGCTGTGTTTCTACAAATGAAGAACATTCGGAACTCAAAACAACTATCGACCAACGCCAAAATCAGAATTTTCAATACAAATGTCCGGACACTGCTAATGTTTGTGACAGAAACTTGGAGAACTATGAAAGCCATCATCCAAAAGATTCAAGCATTCATTAGCAGTTGTCTACGCGAAATACTTCAGATCCGTTGTCCAGACACCATCAGCAGCAATCCACTGTGTGAAATAACAAACCAGATTCCAGTGTAGGAGGAAATCAGGAAGAAGTGCTGGAGTTGGTGGATAGGACACACACTGCGGAAAGCGCCCAACTGTGTCACAAGTCAAGCCCTCACTTGGAACCCTCAAGGTCAAAGGAAAATAGGAAGGCCAAGGAACATATTATGCAGAGAAATGGAGACAGACATGAGAATGAACAAAAATTGGTCAGAATAGTAAAGGGAATTCCAGGGCAGAGTAGGTTGGAGAAAGTAAATGAGTAACTGTAAAGCCTGATAACGAAATTATTGAAAATGATTTTTCACTCAAATATTCTTTGATTTTAATTATCTTATGGGGATTTTTAAACTGCTGATATTCACTACTAGTGATTTAGGCTTATTGTGGAAGATAAACTTTTAGGATGATGGGTAAAAAATGAACGTCTGTTTTTGTCGCTGTGATTTTTAACAGCAAAATATATTTGGTCCTACAGTTTGGTATTGATGTATCATTCAGTTATGAGAATTATTTTTATATTTGTACGATTTCCCAGTTTCAGTAGTCCATCTAATCCACCTAGTCAAATTAACATTTTTTATCAGTTTAATACAAGTGTAACTCTAGAAATTCTCTACCGAACAATGTGTAAAGTGTTCAGTTACTGATAAAAGTTTGACAGTATGAAACTAACCTGGTATAAATAATTGTTTTGAATCTGTTCGGTTTTTCAACAAGGCACTGATGTTAACATTTTGCGCACCTTTATAAACTACTGATATTACTGACAATTTTCCTGTCTCAACTGGATTTGGTGTAACAAAACAACCGAAATTTTCAATTATTGCCCTAACTTTCACTGTTGTAATGACAACTTTTTGATCGACTGGATTCGTAAGCAAGGCTGTAACTCCGAAATCTCCTTCACTTTTGTAAATATGATTGTATATATTACCCTCATAGAAATCGTCCATAGTAAACTGACTGTTATCGCCCCAATCTATGCTTATTTTAGTTAACACTGCAGGATTACCAGACTGCCTTGTTAAATTCAAATTAATTGGATCCTGAACAGCTGCAAATTCGGTATTGGACTGAGCTCTATAAATTCCAATCTTATCAACGACATAAACATTGATTGTCCTATTTTCTGTATTGCCTCCTGACGATGCTGAAAATGTCACAGTGTATATATTGGCGCTTGAATATTTTTTAGTCAACTGAAAATCGCTAGGCCATACTTGCAACTGCACAGCTGATCGCTCGATTACTTCACCATCCCCATAATTAACAGTCAAAATAATTGATGTGCCTTCTTGAAATGAAACACGAAAAACCATATTTTCCGAAGGGCTAACGTAACTGTTTGAGATGAAAATAAATTTAAATTGACAACCAGTAAGACTAAATCACAATTTAAGTTTTAAGCAAAATCTGTTCTTCCTTTGCATCCAAAATGTCAAGCAATAAGTAAAGATAACAGAAAATACTTACTCTAATTTTAAATGAGATTATTTTCAAAGAGTGCGATTAACAGCGTCAAGTATCGGTATTCATCAATCAATTCTATTTTCACTTAACTTACAAGTCTGTGAAAATGTTGTTCTAGGCTCCAATTAACTTTTGACTTTTGGTGAAAGTTCCATAATTTTCTTAATTACACAATCATCCTAGAAATTCATCACATTGTTTTGGATAATTTTTGGCTACCAGTTTATTGAATAATTTCTTTTGAGCTCAATTTAGTTTGTATTTAGAAATAAAGTTTATTTTTATGAGTTATAATGAACAAAAATCATACAAATAGATTTCTAACTGGATTAGTAGTGACCAAAAACAAAGGGATAAATACTGATAGTCTGATTTAAATTGTTACAAAATCGTGTACTTGAACTCTTTCTTTGGTGTGTGTCTCCTTCATATCCATAGACTAAGGTTTAAACTAATGTTAAGTGGGAATAACATTAAATCAATCGTGATTGGAGTTTACTAATACCATTCACCCGCCGACTGCACTACTCAAACCTGTCGTCCGATAATATTGAATAGTTCTAGAAGTGATCTCACTGATTAGTATGGGTTCAGTTGCACATAAATTTCAATGATTTATCAGAGAACAAACATATTGATAACAATAAGCTTGAATAATTAAGCTATTGCTGCTGCCAGTTCAAATTCGAACACGGTCAGTGTCACAGGTGAATTATTGTTAAGCATTCGGTTCCTAGTAGCGTTTCCATCGTTGGGAGTACTCAAGAATACAGTAAGACAATTTGAACGGGAGATGTTTTACCATTTTTCTATTTGTAATTCCCGGTTCCTTCCGGGATCAAAAATTATAAGCGATGTTTGAGGTCTCATAAATGATCGGTTCAACGATTCTATGAAGTGATTTCGGCACAAATGCAGTTAACGTCAAATCACTCTAGCTTTTTAAAACTGTTATTTAAGTCATTTCACATCCTATACTCTTCATTATTTTCTATATAACTAATAAACTAATATATTTCTCACCTCTTGTCACATGTTTTGCAATGTTATATCGTGTGTTTAAAATTACTTGGTTAGTATAGAGATATCATGCCATTACTGTGACTGTGTATTGCTATGAAGCAGATCACAAAAATCACTTTCTGACACATAAATAGGTAATTTTGTTTCAGACGATTAGGTAATAACTTACAGATATTTTCTAGCTGTACTCTCGAGGAAAATACTGACAGAGTGATTTACAATGATCAAATAAAGATATAGTGAGCATTTCTATCAAGTTCACAGTTGAGTCAACTATATTCAAGTGTTGTAAAGATCTATGTGCTTTCGAAAATTCTTGTACGAAATTATCGCCCTATATTTTTGCAGATAGATATTGAGAATATAAAAACTACTTATCAAATCCCGTTTATTTGCTTGACTCTTGTGTTGAACTTATCAGTTAGTTTTATAGATTTCAAATTAAAAACCGACACAATTCATCTATTGGACCGTATACTCTAGTTATAGTGTGAATATTCCAGAAAACTATTTTCCAGTAGTCAGAAATTTCTAAATTAAGACTTACTTTGGTTCATTTTGAATGTTCATGCCAACCACTGGTACATCAAACCGTATCTGACCCATAGTTAAATTTGAACTCAGTGGATTAGTTGTTGATAAGCTGTAGTCTGCAAACATTGCCTGTGGTATATTTACTGGTTCAGATGTAATGGTTTTCTGCACATAATCAATATTTGTATTTAAAGTTTGATTCAAGAAGATCAACTGAGCTGTTAAATTACTTCCAGTTATAAAAGAAAAAACAATCTGTACTGATTTTACAACTCCTAAACTCTTGGTTACAAGTGAAAGTCCTATTGAAGGAAAGAAATGAAGAAAGGCTTAGTTAATGAAAGTGCTTCGAGGTTAGGGTTAGTTTAAACAACAGTTGGAAATGTAAGAGGTTTAGCTTATAACTCCTAACTATTACATAATTATACCTTTAGAGGAACTACGGAATATTAGTCACTTGCTCAATGCATACTTTTTCAAAACTAAACTATAAATTATCAACACATACGGATTTTGGTTAGCAGTGGAATCCGGGACGGTTTTTTCGTCCTATTTGGGGCTCGTCAGCTGACTCTACCTACATTTTTGATTTGGTGACTACTCCGAGACTCGTACTCAGTACGGTTCGCTTCAAACGCCAACTCACTCTCCACGTAGCTACAGAGTTTGAGAGTGATCTGTTGCAGTCCAAGGATTCAAATAATCAATACATTATCCCAATGTGCAAGCTACTCGCTATCTAGACTCAGTAGATAATGAGATAATGCGGCGGCGTTTGAAGCAAGCTATAACAGGTTCAAATTTCGGAGTGGACACTCATTCTGGAGTGCAGGTTCATTAAGCTGACAAGTCTCCAAATAGGACTGAACGCGAGTCCCAGATTCCACTGCTTGCCACCATCTCTCTCTGCTGATAATGCTTAGCAGTATCGAGGCGATCTGCACAGGACGCATAAATGTCAAAAGAGACTGACATTCATGGGAAGATTCAAAAAACCGACTCTGATAAACTTTGCATTATTTATGCCTTTCTTCCTTCGCCATTAAATTAAACATTGTTTTACGATCCAGACAGAGTTTTTTTAGTTTACATCACTTGTCTAAGTTCACTCACCTGTCAAGCGCTCCATTACAAATTGTTCCAGTTTTCTACTAATAGATTCCAAGGGTGTTATACAAGTCACATTCCAGACTATCAAACCACTTTGAGTGTGCATATAGTCAAACTGTGTCAAACTATCATTTTTGGTTAAAACACCATTTATATACCAAGAACATATAAATAGGTCTCCAGTTACATTTAATCTTAGTGTAGTTAGCTCATTCATGCCACACGATTGATTTCCTTGTATCTCATTAAACACAAGTCTCTGTATCACAGTCACGTTTTGTACAATTATTTTGAACTGGATACTGTTGCTTATATTGACAGTCAAACTATAAATACCAGCAGTAGTGTAAATGTGCTGCACCGATCTAACTGTAGTAGTATTCTGAAATGTTCCATCACCGAAATCCCAAACATAAGTAACATTCAAACCTGTTAAAGAAAATAAAATACATTGTATGTAAAGAATTGGTATTTACTCATTAAAAAACATTATTTTGGTATCTGATTTATTATATTCATAAAAAGTGTCCTTTTTCCTTATATTTCAACCTTCCGTATGGAGTTATTTCACTAAATAATTACACCGTCCATTTAAATCTAAGTTTTTGAAATGTATTTCTTTCCATTTATTCATTCTGAAAGGGGTTAACCTAAAATAAGCTTATTGAAGATACAAGGAATATTATGGTTGACATTTTTTTCCTCAATTTACGATTAAATTCCTACGAACTGGTTTGACTATTTTTGATGTATCATGCTTTCAATTTGTGTAGCTATATTGTAAATATTAAGTGTAGTTGGGAAATACATTCTAGGATAAATTGCAAAAATCAATAATTTATTACCTGTATGGTTTTTAAGCTCCAGGAAACATTCTTTTTCTGTAGCGCACATGTTGAATATTAACTCAGTTTCATTGATAGGTTCATCTATGATAATAGGAGTTTTAATGAGAGCCGGTGTTGTATAGTTCTTGCCCCAGTAACTGTACAACTGAAGTGAGATATCTTGATAGCCTGTCGTATTTACATATCCAGTCAATGATGCGTCATGAATTGGTCTGATCCAAGCACCAAGCTATAATTAAAAATATCATAGTTTAAATGGTTATCAAGCGATAAACACCTTTAAAAATAGAGATATTTCATTTGGTCATAAAATTCTAGATGCTTCATCAAATTTTTCTTCAGACAATTATCTGCATAATGTTTAAGCTGTGTTTTTAACGTGCAGGCTATCTTACGAAACCAGCTTTACTATCTCTGATTGATTGTAGTCGACCACAGTGAAATACTGATCCGTCAGAGTTACGATACGAATAGATCCTGACAGTTCTGTTCATGTCAGTCAGATCTAAGTATATTTATTTGATTTTATTAAGTTGCAATAAAATTTCAGTATTAACGAATAAACATTACTGACTATAATTGAAATAAAGTTACACGTTTTTGAATAGTGTCACATTAATCTTACATTGCTTTTGATTAATTAAATTTTGAAATCACTCTACTAAAGAATACTATGCTGAGTTAAAATCAATAATGAAGCTATATCACGTTAAATGTTTTTAAGAAGTTACAACCTATTGTTAAACTTACCTGATGTCGCATGAGAGTCAAACGTTTTAGATCACTACTTAATACAGAACTTCCGTTAGTTCCGGAAAATGTTGTTAAGGTTTCTAAATCGTCAGCTTCGTATGATCCAGAAAGTGCACATCCAATACTTCCAGCTACGGCACTAGTGAATCCTATCCGATCACCAGACTGAACAGTCCATACTGAAGGCAATTTAATACTCTGCCAACCTAAGACTGTTAATTTGACCGTGTACATCTAAAAAGTTAAATATATGACAAAGGAAAAAACATCAGACAAGTAATCTAAAAAGTCATAAAATTCACTGTTTCAAATCTAAATAACTCAGGTCCAAACAGGTTCAATAGCAGATAGAATACTCCACAATCTCAACAACTTATAATGACAAGCATAATATGCTCACTAATGTCTAGCTTCGGGAAGAGATTCCCGAACTTCTAGTATGAAGCCATGAACAGTGGAGGTCAACCGTGTCGCATATGAGGCAGCAACACATCGAAGACAGTGGGTGAGGTCGCTCAATATCGTGGATTGAATGAAGCTGAATATCAACACCATCAGATGCCAGCTTAGTGACCTAGAGATTAAGCGTTGTTGAGCGAGCTCAAAGGTGCTTTGTTCAATTCCCACTTGTGTGGTCGTGAATGCTTACTGTTTATGAGTACCATACTAAGATAAAGTGACCATCTAATGCTTTCAGGTTTCTATTAGTGTTCCAACATTTATCGGTCTATGAGTTCAATGAAACTCAACAATCTCCATAACCCTTTAAGAGGAATGTGTGGGTTTAGCGTTTACGTGTATAGTTGTTCTAGACAAAACCATTGGTAAAACCTTGAAAATGCTCTATTTGTATTTCTTCATCAATGGCTAGCAGCTTATTCCGTCAAAATAGGATATGATTGGTGGTTACTATGAATCATACTATCTCTATTTGTAAATTGGATATTTTTTGCTGACAAAATAGTTGGTTGAATTTTCATTGATAGGTTGAATGACGGGTTTTATTTTAATTTGTTGAATGACCTAAGACCTATTTTTCTTAATGGCTATCTCTTCTTCAATATTTGAGTACTTTTCATGTCCAAATCAGGCTCATAACCTACCGGATCCATTAATACGAATAAAAATACGTTGTTACATTTGAAGAAGAAGAAGGTAGAAGTCACGTTTTCAGATATTGTATTTCTCTCATGTGCAAAAGTTTTATTTACTCGAGGATATCTGACATGTTATCTTTTGACAGTGACTTTCTTCAATTTCGAATTCTTTGGTTAAACGGCAGTTGTTGGTTGTAAGGTCACTCTCATTCATAAAGGTCACAATGATCTTTTCATAGCTTTTTGGATAGTCCGTAATCAGTTTTGTAACTGATGATAAATTATCATAATTTTGTTGTTGTACATTCATATGTTTTATTTTGTTTTGAAGAATTACTTAAGGTGATATAATTGAACCTTACCAGTAACTATGGAACAACGTATCGTAATATATTAAAAAAAATGAGTCTGAGCGAATAACTATCAATCTTTGAACACCGTAATCCAATTTTTATTGTTACATTTAACATAACACGTTATTGAAAGTTAAATGTTTATCGTTTTATAGAGGTTTGATGTCCATGTGTGAAATACACCCATCAGCGTCTGATTCAACTTTGCTAAACATCAACAGTTTCGCGTGCCTGTACAATTACACTTGAGTTTAATAATGGTTTCAGAGTTTACAAGTATAAATGTCATCGTCACCGAATAGGATCTTTTTAGATTCGTACGATAAAGTTGAAATTAGTTCAGTGGCGTCATTTAAATTAAAGTACTTTGTTAATGCATTCCAAGCAACTTACCAAAAATTATTTAGAGAATGATATTTCGGTAATTGAAATAAGGTTGGAATTAATATGTCAAAATGAGTAGTGTATGTAGTAATTGTTTAACTTTGTCTTTCAGGTTAGGAATAATAAATATTCCTGAAAGTTATCTTCTCCAGCATAATTTCGGTACAACTATGCGAGTAGTTGTGTGTACTGACCAGTGAAAATTAAACCAGAGCGAATATTTTAAAAAATTTTATTTTGAGGTAGAAATAATACAAATAGGGAAAACGTGGTTAAAAAATTCTTCTGTTATTTCCCGGGAAAGACAAAATCTCAAGATGTTATTGATCATTGACATCAAATTTTACAATGAGAACTGTATGCTACGTTACTTACTGAGTTGAATGAGCCATACGTTAAAGTTATCTCGAAACACAAACTGACTAGATGAACACCATCTAAGTTATGGATCTATTTCTTTATTCTGATAAGTTTGAGTTGCTCATCTTTAAATGACTAAGTTCGAACTTGATGAAAATACTCAAAATTATAGTCATCTGTACTTAAACCGTATTCACTTGGTTAACATTTATTAAGTAAAATAAAACAATCTGATTTTGGTGCCTCACCAACAAACAGACGGAAATGATTTAAACTACCAATACTGTATCCACTTCGGGTGGCAAAACTAGGTTGTGAATTCTAGATAATCGATAATGCCTAAACAAAGCATAAAATATCAAAATTTATTTTTGCTCTAAATAGAATTTGGAAATTTAAATGCAATGAAGTAAAATGATAGAATATGCCAAGATGGATTTCGCGTTCTTCAAACAATCCAGTAGTAACAGCAACTGGTTAACTATTTGTCTATCGTTTTAAGTTTATAAGAGATGTGTGATAAACAAGAAACGTAAACTGATAGCCAACTTATCATTAAGATGTACATACTTGTGTTACACATTGGTCAGGACTTTGAAAAATCTATTAATCACAGTTACTTATTGGTAGTTTTCATGATCTGACCTTTGAATAGTGTGTGATCCAGTGATAGATCATCAAGAAAGACTAAATGGCTAACGCTTCACAAGACTTACCATTTAAAGACTGGTATACCAAAGCTGAATCTCTCCCACTACTAAATATGTCATGAATCGCTTCTTCAGAAATATGTTTCGCAAATACACCTAAAATTGTCTTATTAAAATCTACAGAGAAAATTAATTATCTAAAGCCTTGACAATAATAGCAAATACTAATGTTTATGGAATGACTTACTCCTACTATTTGATAATCATAGCTTTCCACAGTTGTAGGTTTATCTAACTTCAGTTGTCGTAGATTACCACAATCGGACGATGATATGCTAACGCAATCCCGAACTAAACCAGAAAACACTTGATCTTGTGTACACGTTACACTACGACTGCTGGTCACTGAACAGTCGTTGGTCTCAAAATTGTACACACCAGTAGTGCATTGAACACGTAAAAGCTAAAAAACGGACGGATGAAAAATATTTGACTGTTTTAACTGTATTGATTTTTTGAACTGTCAAGGGCAATCTGACTGATTTCCTAATCCTGTTAATTTAATCAAAATTAACTGGTGTTTTATGTCTTGATATGAGTATGTTAAAAGTGTAAAGTGAATATCTAATTGTACATGAAGCTGATCCATTTAACTAGATTCGGTTATTCGGTTATTCGACAATTTCCATTTGTTGACTGCCTTTGATTTACCGAAGTTGATATTTTTTAACCATGACAAGGTAGGCAGCACTGTGCAAAATGAAAGACCATACATTTCTTTTCCGTATAAAATCACAGTTTATGTCTTATGTGTTAGAGTGAGCCTGAAATTCGATTGACAGTTGGATCTTTTATTCCGGTTATTCTTATGATAGACTATTAAAGCGAAGTTCACCCTTGTGGTGGTGTTTCGTTCTCTGGGCTGGATGCTTGTTTTGCTTTACAACTTTGCACTTATTACTTGAAAAGCCTAATGCAAAAAACAGTTGAATCGATGAGAAGTTATCAATCACCTTTATTGTACTAATGAATATGAAGCTACTAATATCATTTTTCATTGAACTCATAGACCGATAAATGTTAGACCAATAATAGAAACCTGAAAGCATTAGATGACCATTTCGTCTTAGTACGGAACTCATAAACAAAAAGAATTCACGATCACACAAGTGGGAATCGAACCAAGAACCATTGAGGTCACTCAACAACGCTTAATCTCTAGGCCACTAAGTCGGCATCTGACCGTGTTTATATTCAACTTCAATCAATCCACGATATTGTGCGACCTCAACCATTGTCTTTGATGAGTAACTGCCTCACATGTGACACTGCTAATCTCCACTGTTTGTGGCTTCTCACTAGAAGTTCGGGAATCTCTTTCCGATGCTAGTCATTAGTGAGCATATAATAGTTGTCATTATATTGTTGTGGGGATACTTAGGTTTCATTGAAGTAGATCAGTGTGAGATCACCATCAGGAACCTAGAAGTTAGATGTTTTTACCATGGGATACCGGCTTAGTGGTCTTCAGGTTAAGCATTCGCTCGTGACGTCAAAGGTCTTTGGTTCGATCCCTACTTATGGAGTCGTGAACGCTCCCTGTTGATGAGTTCCATAATAGGACAGAACGGCCGTTCAATGCTTTCAGGTTTCTGATAGTGGCCTAGCATTGACCAATCCATGGTTTTATAGAAACTCAACAATCTTCACGACTCCTTAATGATCGTTATCAATTTTACTTGAATAATCAAAAGTCAAAAAACTGAACCCAGACCACTGGTCTGCTGGACGTATTTTTATCTTGGAATACTCCTTGTGCAACTACAACTTACATAAAAGGTGATATCAGTTAATATAAGTGAATGTATTTGAATTGTACTGATTGTTCCATCATAACGAGCTTGTGAACCAGTTATAATTAACTTGTCAGTGCTGTAATTGATCAATTTATCTTTCATACGTTTCGGAGGTAGTCCTATCCAGTCAAAATTTGGTTCTGAAGAATAAAAAATAAATCAACTGCACCAAAAAAAAGAAACAACAATGGTAATATCCAGGTTAATCAACCCTAATTTACAAACGAATAAACATTAACAGAATTAGATTTAGATTGTATCAAAGCTATGTGATGACATACTGTAATGTTCGGGGATGAATTAGCAAAATTCAGTAGTTCTAATGAGTTAGTAAAAGAAGAATTTTTTTTTTGTTTAATTTCAAAAAACTGATTTATCATTTTGGCTAATGCTTTGTAAATTATTTTTTTCCGTCAACAATAGGTTTTATTAGCTAGATCATATGTGCAACAGCATCTATCAGTGCCATAAATGAACAAATTTCAAACTGTATAATTTCTAGCATTAGTATTCGACACAAGATTATTTTCTTCAAAAGTACAGTTATGTATAATCAAAACAATTTATTTGACTTAATATAATACATTGAAATATTTCCCTGCTTACTGTTCAGAATAAGACGGTTACTCATGCTATTTGATTACTCAGCTCACTGTTTACGCAACAATGATCAATGCATCCTATTGTATATTGTTAATGCCTGTTTCTATAATGTCCATTCAATCAAAAACATCGTAAATTACAGTGTTAACCTGTTTTCTCACAAAGCATGATTTGAAAGTTCCCATTTTATGTAATACCTGATATTTTAAACAATATTCTTCGTTACACTGAACATCTACAATTGTTATTATGTTTTTTTATCCCCATTAATTACCACAATATATCCTATCTAAAAACGCGAATCATTTAACTGAATATTGAATAAGTGATACCGAAATGAAAAGTATTTATGGTTTTGGAGGTAGGCAGAATTAAAAAACCAGTTCAAATAAAAATCAGAAAATGTAGTTTTCAACAGCAATTTCTATCTATTATTTTGAAGTCGTTGAAGCAAAATTTTTGACCAAGTACAAGATGAATCGTTAAGTCTTTCTAAACTTTGACGTTTTATTCTACTACTTAGATTATTTTCAACATCAGAAGTAAATCAATGAAGGCGATCCTCCAGGAAATCATTATGGTTATTCAATTAGTAAACGCTATATTTGAGTATAATACTTCAATTAAAGTGTATTTCTTCTTGAATGTAATATCTAATGAAGTATTTTTTGAGTAAGCCAGGTTATTAGGTATTTTATTACATAAAACTAATCAACAAAATGAACAATTGAAGAACATCAGGAATACTAATCTGTAATTTACTTTACTGAGAACAATGATCCAATTTCTACATGTAAAGGCTATTATCTAATATATTACAGGGAACATTAATTCATCTACATAGACTTGATGGTTCGAATCAGATACGTCTATTGAACTTTCTTAAACAGAACTGTAATCCAGTGTTAATGTTGCTTCAGTATGCCAAGTGCAACCTGCAGATAGAGACAGGTAATAACAAACTAGTCCACTTGCTTAGACGTCACAACTTTGTCGACTCCATAATTCTCCAATGAAACTCTGTTGGCATTGCGTGGGAAAAATATCAGATATATAGAATACAATTTACGTGATGTAGGGGTTGTGTTCTAGTTTAATTCTGTTGACTAATAAGATAGAAACTAACGCATAAGGCAATTTTTATAATAAACCAAACACTCCGACAGAATAATTCGTTTCCTAGACTTCTAATGGCTAATAATAACTTACCATTCACTAAAATTATTAATTAAAATGTAAAGCGTCCATTGTAGACAATTTAATCTTAAGGAAGTTATTGCCGTCTGAAAGTCTAGTTGAACGTAAGGAGGAGAAGTAATATAAACTTACCAGTTTCAAAATACTAATCGTTTTGGTTACAAATGCAGCAAAAAGGCTATTTATCAAACATTTAATTAGGAGAGACGTATGTTTATCTTTTATAGTTTATTACGTAACATTGAACTTTAGAAAAAACCCCAATTCACAATTGATTCCATGATTTAAATGTTAAACAACCACACTTATATCTACACTCAGTTGTCGACAGAAATAAAGACGAAACACATAAATAACTAAAATAGTTGCACAACTATTCATCGATAAATTAAACCATGAGCGATACAACTAGATGGGACGATATAAAAAGCTTTAAGTTAAACAATTTAAATTCTGCAACCACTAAACAATCTTTTATCAATTCTGACATTGCTACTATATTACTACATCAGTAGCATTCGAAAATTTACAGGAAATTTCTTTCATTGAACGGAGATACACCAAACTATTTAATGAAATTGTTATCATGTGTAAAAATTTATTCACAAATAACCAAACAATAACAATAGATGATATTCATTACGAATAAGATATGTTTTATTCAGCCTTCAAAGTTTGACCTGAACAATACAGTAGCTATGGCAACATCCCCATTGTTGTTGCAATAATTGTTGATGAAGTGATGGTAGTTGAATTTCTCAGAGTTAGAACTAACTAGTTATGCCTATTGAGGAAGTTTATGGCATGTAGTTAAACAATTTAGAAAGTTAATTATTCGAGACTTCAGATTTGTAACGATGACTAGCGTCGAGCATCGAGACAAATTACTGAAGAACTTACTGTGCATAGTCTACTGTCAGTGCCATCATGCGGACCCAAAAAATCGTGAGCTATCGTTTGGTCATGTTAGAATAACTTGAGTGATAAGTTTCTGTCAACGTTATAGCGTACTACAATATGACACGTACTAGTGAGTATGCCTTCTATTTGAACATTGGATTATTGGATAATATTTTCAAAGTAACACGAATCCAAACTTATATTAGTAAATGTTCCTTAAATATACTCATTACAAAATAGTATGATAACACTATCCTTCACGAACGTAAACTCATAGATTGCTAAGTTGGTTCATTCACAAATGAAACGGAGCATGTAATAATCTATACAGTAAACTGTTCGTTAAGAACCAGATAATCAAAAGAGATGAATCATGCTGAAAGTAATTCATGAAGAATTTACATATTACATTTTAGTCTCTTATCAAAGTTCATAATCAGGTACGTGATTGTTGATGGTTAATGCGGGTCCGATGTAAATAAAAGAGCTAGTTCATGAATTTCTAAATACTGTTAAGCTTCGTATTGACAAGTGGTATACCTCGAAATGAGTAAAGGCAATAATTCATTTAAATTAAGAAACCTAAGCACAAATAATAAAGAACTTAAGATTTTGAGTAATTTATGAGTTCTAGATTAAAGCATATATGATGCCTAGCAACTTCTAGCTCGATAAGTTCTTCAGAGAATACTTGATATCATTAATGATCACGGCCATATTTGAAATGGGATAACTTTGAAAGTTTTTATTCTACCAATTTTAGTTATTTTAAATACTCTAGTTAATGACGATCACTGAATTATGTAGATCAAATTAATTTGTAGTACTGATTTGATTTGAAATAACGAAAAAATTGTATAATTTAAGATAACAGACAATATCCTCGATATTATTAGATGTAAACCAAAATTTTCAAGCAAAATATCATACCTGGTAATGAAATTGCATCTTGCCAGTCGTTTGCAAATGACACAGTCCCTTGTATATGACTTCCTTTATTGCAATTCAACTGACAAGTGAACATAGATCCACGCATAACAATTAGCGGGCATTTAAGTGTAATATCGTCTGGAGTTATCAGTTCATAAATCATTAATGCTAAACTTGCTGAGCCAGTCTGAAAAATTTGAAATTTTTAGAGAAAATTAATTTTTCTAACCAAGTAATTGTAAACAAACATAAGCTGTTCGATGATATGTTCAGATATAAACTTCGGTATCAGCCTTAGAGTGAAACTGGAACTTTCCCTATAGGATTTCCTAGAGTAATAATAGCATAACTAAGAAAGCCATTTAAATATAGAACGTTTCGGTCAACACAAGAATATAATCAGAACAGAATGAGGAAAATATCTTAGCTAGAAGACAAACTGGCGGAAGAATTCGTTTATATTGGAAAAGTCATTCGAAGTATAAGTATTCTGAGACAGTTGTCATGAGATATGGAACAAGGCGTGTAATATGGTTACTCAATTTACACTATTTTCCATGTGGAAATATGATTTTACCCAACAATAACAGAACTCTGGAAAGTAGACTGTAAATGAACCACCATGGAACCTAACTGAACAAAGCACATTGCATTATATGGCAGTACACAACTAGTGAATACTTTTGGGTGCTTGAGAATTGTAAATGATATAAGGCAGCTCATATAGATATGTTTTATTAGAAAAACTACTACAAATCATGAAACGATCATCTAGCACTCATTCTCAATCGTACTTGTAATTTAAACCATGGGCACCGTGTTTTGACGCGAACCTTTCTGTTAAACCTCATTTTTGGAAATCTGATGATAGTCTTTATTTTCCAACTCTAAAGAATCCTATTGATAGTTGAACAATTTGACTTTTTTTCCAGTTGTGTTCAATATATTTTTCTAGGAACATAAACAACATGGCTATCAAGTTATCATTAATTTTCATTTCATTTGAATATTATATTCAGTTCGTTTTTTTTATTCTTGATAATATTTCAAAGGTTAAAAAATGTAGTGAACATCAACAAAGAGAAGATGAATGATTGAATTCGACGTAAAGATCAGTCAAATGATATAAATAATGCGAAGTTTAATTTTCAAGTGAAATATTTACTTCAATAACCTAAAAGAACTACATATATTTAAAGTTGTCAATACTTGTCACACACACAGGAAATTCCAAGTTTAAACATCATTGATGATATAATTTGGAAAATCTTTTGATATATTAAATAGATTAGCATGATCAATCATATTTTGTATTCGTACTAACGAAAAAACATTAACAAACATTTACTTGATCATTGAATGCACTTACAATGGTACCATTTTCATTTCTCCCCTTCAATGTTGGCCATACAGGACCTGGTGCATTGTAGCTTACTACTAGCGGTGCAGTAATATCTGAAATATTCTCTGTCGTCTGTATTGTATCTCCATAATCGAATTCGTAAACTTTAATACCAGGTAGGTTTCTAAATTCTATCGGTATTTTAAAATTGATCGGTATCTCATCTCCAATTTGTCTGATTGTCACATTATCTGTTGTCACCTATAAGGTTGGAAGTTGAAATCATGATTTAAAAAAAAGAAACATACATTCCCGGACAGAAATATAGTGTTGTTTTTTTTCTCTATAAAATATTAACTGGCAACCTTGAATTTGATATTTTGAAGTCACCTTTAACATGTGTGGTGGCCAATTTCAACGTGTTCTTAATCTTCGTGATTAGCTCGTCCAGACAATCGTTACTTAATAGCGTCTGACGGTTTATAAATCAGAAAGTAAACTCGAAGTGTTGAATACGTTTATTTTGGCACACCACAAATAGGGATAGCAGACCACAAGCAGACCGGGCAGGCACACCAGCGAGCGAATGTGTGAATGCATTAATACGATTAAAATGTTCGTATATATACATAGGAAAATGTCTGAGTCATCGTGATATTTGAGAGATCAATATTAAAGCGAATAGGATGCATATGCGCGTAGGCGTTAAGCAATGCTCAGTAATACCAGCTCATACAAACCACACAATAATAAAAGCCAATGGTACACATAAGTTATTGTTATACAAATGGCTTGGTTAAATTAATTAACCGAAAGGCTTGACCAAATTAAATGTAAGCGAATGCAAATAAATGTGGAGGCACTACACATGATACAATTCCAGTCGTGTTTTATATCCCCTAGCAAGCATGCTTTTCATATCGATGTTAGTTCTAAGAGGTTTGTTCAACAATTAAAATAAAAGCCATTATAATCTCGAAAATTAAGTCACCTCATATGTAACGTTAGTAGATCGCAAATTGGCATCTTTACAAAATCTATTTATAACTAACCTGTCCGTATATACACAAACAAATGAAGATAGATTTCACAGGAACTATAGTATGTTTCTGAGTGACTTTGAATATGAAAATTAAAGCTGATTTTCGGAATTATTTTAGATTTACTATTGATAACTGTCCTTATGAAAATATTTGGTCATAACCGAATAGGTTAAAAGATTATCTAGGGAAGAAAAGATTTATGTACCTCGAGCTGTATCTGACTGAAGGTGACTTACTTAATACATGACCATTATCATGTTCGTACACACCATTAACGGGTTAGGAGTTCGTATTACACTGTCAACTAATTAGGCTTATCACATGTACATTAGACAGTATCCAACACACTGAGTTAACTTAAGTGCGTCGACTTAGTTGACAGAAAGTTGACAGACTTGGTGAGAATCACATTTGTAGCACCCGGCTAATTTCGGTTTGCACTCATCCCTTATATTGTATCATCAATCACTTAATAGTGGAATCATTTGCTCAATGTTTAGCTTTACTACAGAATAAACTATATTCTGTTCCATAGACTTTCTGTGTTATTTTATTCTTACTTCCCTTATCAGTTAATCTACTGCTGAATTGGAAATCAGAATATCTGACCCCTTTGTTAAGTGTGTAGTGGAACACTTCTACGAAGAAAATACGATTTGGGAAAAATAAACATTATTGTACTCGTTTTGTTTAACTGTACCAAAAACACTTCTTCTACTTCTTGCGCGCAACGTTCCCTTCGCGTTGCTGCCATTTTTCTAAATGCCCTGCTCCCGATGTAATGCCTACTGTCCCCTTCAATAAAATCTTGGTACATGGATTTATTTTGATATACGTGACGAGACCATATGGAACATTTAGTGGTGATCATAGACAATCAGGTATCTTGACTCGCTCACTAAAAGTGTAATAAATGTTTACAAACTATTTTTGTGCCCCAGAATTTTGTCAGCGCAAACTTCCATCAACTACTATCAACTACCTGAGAAATATATTAACAAAGCTACTATTTTTCACAGTTACAAGCCCGGTACTACGTTCCAGAATCCTTCGTTTCAGTAAAGAAAGAATATTCTAAACTGCAAGTCCGTAGTAGCGTAGAATATGAACCATATTTAGTTCCCTGTATTACTAGACCCTTCCCCTTGTACCTGTTCATGTGCGCTCATGTTTTTTACACTTGAAATCACGAACCGGTTTAGATTAGACAAACATTAAAAACCTGGAAGCACTGGACGGGTGTTTTTTTCATGCTGAGGAGCCGTGACCAGTGGAGTTCACCCTTCTCGGTGTTGAGAAAGATACTCACCGTACACGATTGGAGAGGTCTGCGCAGTATGGCGGATTGACTGAAGTATTCATTGGTACACCAATCAATATCGAGTCAGTATTCTAAAGGTTAAGAATTCCCTCTAGACACCGAATTTCCTGGGTTATACTTGCAAATTTATACTGAGATTTTTCAAAACCATTTCAATTGGGAATATCAATCAGCGACGTTAGTTTAAAGTAATCTCTCATCACCAATGTCATATGCTGATAGTTACTGACGTTTCTTCATTACTTCAGTCGAATTTTTTTAGACTGTAGACTTTTTATGAGATAGATTCTAGCGAACTTACAAAACCAGTAATTCATTGTTGTGATTTTCCGTTAGGTCACTGTGATCCAATAGTCTCAGTAAAGAAGATATACACATATTATAGTAGACGAACAGACTCCTGATACATTTTTAATGGATTTCTTGACTAAATGAATGTTATATTTAACATTATGTCCACTTTTCACACTACGCGACAGATTATAGTTTCTTAAAGCCTAACATTTACTGAACTTGTCATAAATTCAATATCGCTACACAAAATACTCAATTTTACAATATATCAAGGTAAAATTATTGCTCATGCTTATCACACTTACCTCAAATGGACCGATAAAAACATTTGGTTCTATTTGGTAAACAGCCACCATTTCTGAATATAGGCAAGTTGCATTGAATAATTCTGTACTCGGTGGTAAATTATTTCCACAAAAACAAAACGAATCATTCGATATGGCTGACCATGAAAAGTTGTTCTTGCTACAGCTTGTTATACAGTCTGAAGGATCTGTGACATTCTAGTAATGTGTATTTCATGTGCAAAATAAAAGATCGAAAAAGTTGAAATCACGAAAATGTGTAAGTACGATGAGGGCTGTTACTTATTATTTTTTTTCCACTTTTAATTGAACTGTACAAAGAATTATCACACTTCACTTCCCATTTGAGTAGCAATTCCAGTTATTATACGGAGGGTTTTCCAGATTGTCTATATGTCATTTTTGACCAAATATTTACTAAGCATAGTTTGAATTTTCTATTGGTTTTCTCACATCACACCGATTTGAGTTGCTTTTAAAGATCGAATTCCTACGCCATTAATTACCATTAAAACATCTTTTATTTCAGATGAAAGCTATAACGCTTATCATTTCTTGATTAAGTGAAAACTTTTTTAGGAAAATATACATCTGATTAATAGGCACATATTTCGTCGGTCAATGAAAGCCAATCAGACTATTCTTTTTTTCTTTTCATTTGCAGATCTAACTTGTATTCTAAATTATACTTGAAAAGTGTTATTTGTTTTTAGAAAAGTTAATTTTGTACAAAACTTGTTGAAATATTCATTACATAGAGCTGCGGACGATCGGAACCTTTCAAATTTAATGCGAACTCTTGTGTTTCAGTTGATGGTCACCGTCATTGTTAGACTTACAACAGCTAAGTTTGTTTTCGTAAAAATGTGTACAATATGACCACCCTGTTTGGTGTAGGCAGTCACTACCGAAGGCATTGATTGAGTGAGGTTGCACAAAACCTTAGATTAATCAAAGTTAAACATTAACACCGACAGTTGCCGAATCAGTGGTCTAAAAATTCAGCGCTCGCGTGCGAGACCGAAGGTCCCGGGTTCGATCCTCGCGAGCGGAGATCGTGGATGTGCACTGCTGAAGAGTCTCATACCGAGGCAAAGCGGCTGTTCAGTGCTACCAGTTTTCTGCTGGTGTTTGATTGATTTATGATTTCATTGATATACTAAAAACTTTTGTAAATAACTATTCTTCTTTACTATTCTTTATATATATAATTTGTTTTACACTCATCACTGCACTAATATTCATTTTGCTGTAAGATAACGGGAGGGGTGTTTTAGCCTCTTTGTTTAAGTAAACTACAAACTTTTTGAAATGTTTAACCAACTTTAGAAGCCTCAGCTTCTCACAATGAAGTTGGATTTTTAAGTATAATCTTGTCAAATAACATGTCTCCTACCGAAAGAAGTTCACAATACATCCTTATGCAGTAAATCTTGACCAGTTTAATCGTTAATAGAAAATACAAATTAGCAATTCTCATCAAACACTTGTCTATTAACTCTTAAGTGAAGAACACAAAAGTTCAGTAATTTGATAATATGTGTTGTTCAAAAAACTATTAATACATCTTTCTACCTTGGCAATTTTCATTATAGAAAAAGATACAAACTGAAATTGAGTGTAAACTTACTGTTTCAGAGTCGTAAAATCCAGGAGAAAAATCAAAATACCGAGTTTCCTGACGTTCCAAATAATAAACAGGATCTGGTATAGCACATTCTAATTATTTATAGCATTAGAATATTTGAACTAGTTCATTCCTTACCTGATTGAGATATCCAATTTGTAATCAAAATTATCTATAACGGAAAATTTTAGGGGGGAAAATTTAGATTTTTGGTTATTTTTTTAAATAGGACAATTTGTTCGAATCTACTTGGTTTGAAAACTTTGTAGTTATCATTCATCCGAATAAATATTTTCCCATCAAGCAACAACTGCCGCCTACTGTGCACTGTGTTTTTCCCAAAACGTAGACAGTAAAGGATGAAAGATAGTTTTTATCATGAACTAGATCTATTAAGAGAGCCGTAGACACAGATGGAAAATCATGACCCAGACGATGATGTGCCAGCTCTGAAACCTGTAAACACCATTTAATGTGACATGAATCCGAGGATATAAAGCGCAGGGTAGTTTTCAACAGGGACAGAATGTTAACTTCGTGGATCTTCGTCCTTCCGATTGCACTCTATGGTTTTAATCATTCTAAAGGTTAGAATACCTAGCATCGCTTTACATAACAATGAGTATAATGTTAGTATTTTAGTAGTTTACTAGCTAGTCAAATTTTTGTCACTGATGTATTTATTGCTTTAATAAGTTTCAAATCAATTGCTCTTATAACAACATATAAACCATGAAACAATAAAATTTTGCTGTAAAAAATGAAACATATTTCCTATGGGCCACTTCAAACAGAGTAATTTATTACATGAGTCCAAGGTTAATAAATTTTAGAAAGTGTATTTTCTTTTAAAAATAACAAACGATAATAAAGTAATGTTTTTGAGATGGTGGAGAAAATTTGTAGCTCAGGTGGATGATTGTGGTGGTGGTGTTTGGTTCTCTGAGCTGGATGTTTTGGTTGTGGAGCTTTCATTGTTCTTCTGAACAACATCGTCAGCACAAACTTCATATAGAAGTGCAGAATTCGAATTTCTCCACATTTGACCTGTATAGCTTGTTCTGCTAACTTCGATCTTGATTGGTTGCTGTTGACCTTAAACCTGTCGTTGATTGCACCTTTGTTTTCATTGTATCCCCCTTTTGATCTGTTTCATGATCCTGTGGTTAACAGAACAAGCTACAGGTCAAACATGGAGAAATTCGAATGCTTCTCTTCTATCTGAAGTTTGTGCTGATGATGTTGTTCAGAAGAACAATGAAAGCTCCACAACCAAAACATCCAGCTCAGAGAACCAAACATCACCACCACAAAGTAATGTTTCATTGGCAGTCATGGTTAAGTATTTACATAACATTCTAAATTCTAGAAATTAATATGATTCTATAGTTCCATGATGAGAGTCTAAATTTCTGTTACCCAAATAAAATGCTTTTTACAACCTTTCTTTACACTGTAAATATTATCTAACATAATGAAACTAAACTGATTAAGACTTACACTTATGCAACCTAACGATAATGCCGTGTTAATTCCTCTCGGAATATTCATGTTCCAGTGAATCTTCAAACATGCGATGAGCTTCATCCTAAACCATAAGAATATATATATACATGTATATATACATGATATTTATTTATATATATTCTTTCTAATTGCCATGACAATAGTAGAATAATGTATACGAAAACTTAGTAAACATTGTTATGTTGTAAGTTACACTTCAGTTATATACATATATATATATGCATCTTTTATTTCCAACCCGGTATTGCCTTTTCACTCTCAATAGATTGATGGATAGTAGAGCATACATAAATCTTCAAAACACACGCATACACACACATACTTATGAAAAAAAGAACAGTAAAGGGAGACAGGAAATTAGAAAGAAGTAGCTGAATGCTAACTAAACAGTGATAAACAGTTAGATTCATTTGTTTTCTCTAATAGTACAAAATAGGCATGTTTTGTGCATACATCATGACTACGTTTATACCAATAGTAATAATAATGATAATAGTAATAATAACAGTAATAATAATAAACAGAAGCAAATGAAAACAATAGCTTTTCAAATGTGTTTTAAACTTTATACAATGACAAAGTATTTATCTAGTGAAACAATGTTAATAATTAACATTGTTTCACTAAAAATTTACTTTTATACTATAATACTATAAGACTATTTATTCATTACAGTCGATCCAGTTACACTGGGAATTTCACAGTTGTCCTTAGGCACAGTTGCTTTTCAATGGAGTTATGAAAAGTAAAATAAAATAATAAAAATTATTTTTATTGTCATTATATTAACAACATTAACAACTAGCTGATATTTAATCACACAATCTAGGAGAGAGCATAAGTGAGATGGTGGAGAAAATTTGTAGCTCAGGTGGATGTTTTTGGTTCTCTGAGCTGGAGGTTTTGGTTGTGGAGCTTTCATTGTTCTTCTACTGAACAACATCATTATGAGGGCTATATTTTCCTGTAGAACTAATTCTTCAAAGTTCTTATTTCTCAATTCCTTTGTGGTCATATGAAGCTAGCAGTGTATTACAACACACTGGTGTGTACAAATTATACCCTCAAGGCAAAAGGAAAAGATGAAGGCCAAGGAACACACTACGCCGAGAAATAGAGAAAGATATGAGAGGAATGAACAAACATTGGACACAACTGGAGAGGGAAGCCCAGGATAGAGTTGGCTGGAGAAAACTGGTGGGCGGCCTATGCTCCATTGGGGGTAACAGGCGTAAGTAAGTAAGTAAGTAAGTGTGCAAATTATATTTAAAGTTGATATGTTTTTTTTGTATTCAGATTACAATTATTGCGAATGAATATAAACAAATAAATGAGGATGTATAATGAATTTAAATGATTATTAGTTGCAATGGAGTAGTTATTTTTTTTTTGGTTTTACAACTTGATCTTAAGATTTTCTTCAAGTGGAGTATGAAATATTCAGACAAAGTTTGATACAATTCACCAATATCCTTTTGTCTAATTTGTTCATATAAAATGAGCATCAATAAGTTTCTCAGTATTGTATTTTTCTGTACTTTTATTTCTTTTTAAAAATAAAGATAGAATTATTAGTGTTAAATGTTCGCATAGGATTTCAGACATGCACCTCATTGGGATCTCATCATTGAAACAAAATAACCATAGAAGTTGAGCGAATTACTTCATAAGTCACTTCTACATCGCCTGGTTTCTACTATTAGATAGATCCATCAATATTGAAATTCTCTACGCATAATGACTATTATATTGTATAACAAATAAATTGTATGTTACATATCAGTATAACAGAAACTTGTTAAGTTGAGTACCTTTCATCACTGGTAGTGAATAATTCATACGAGATCCAGTAAAGAATAGCATTTTGTTGTAGCTCAATTGATGCTGGTCTATAGAGTCTATTGTGTCCTAACACTCTTTAAGATAAATAATTGACTATATTGCACTTTTTAATCACTTAAATGTCAACTAAGAAAGATTTAGACTAGTTTCACAATGAAGTCAGTCATAACTAATTCTTGATAAAAGTTACAAAAATTAGAGGATACTTATCACAATAAAAAGTTAATTTGAATTATGTTATAATGCTGCTATGTAGCTATTCCAAATCCTACAGATTGATCGAATTCAGATATTCCAGCACGACCCCAGTTACTAATCCCAAATCTCTGATATTTTAGAACACAACACCGTTAGATGAAGTTGTTTATGGGGTTGAATGCAGAAGGGATGAAGGAAGCAATAATAAGTTTTACAGATAATGCATATTTATACAGTTAGTTTGAATAGGAAACAACATTGAAATCTGTGACACTGATAGTTAGAATGACCATAATATTGACCAGTAGGAATCGACCAATAGAAATAGACTTCTAAAAATAGTTCTCTTAGGATATTTGATGAATATCCAAACAGATTATGAATAGATAATGACTCAGACAAACACTTATTAAGTGATTATCAAATAATGAAAACAATTGATTCATAAGAGTTATGACAGGTAAATGTTCACTTGACAGATATAAAGAAGTGTTAATAAAAGTATGCAAAGATAATCAATAACAAGTGAAAAGTAATTGTAAAAACTGAAGGAGGTTAGAGACAACTAATTATTCAGTAAAACGACGACGACAATAAAGCAACTTTGATTTAAGCTGTGATAATTAGACTATTGTTAAGAACATGATAAAATGAGAAAGTGTACGTGCTACTTTTGGACGTAGAGGTCGATTTTAAACTGTAAAATTCCTATAGCTCCTATATATATATATATATATATATATATATATATATATAATTTCTACTCAATATGACTAATTAGAGATACATACAGGAGTTGTCTAAAACCCAAATGTATCTTTAGGTTTTTTCCTATGATGAATTAAATTTCCCTAAACGGGATCTAAGAAGGATATACTGTTCATTAAAATTTATGAACGGTACTTGTTATCTAATCCGTAATCATAATTCAGTACTATGTATTGTGAAATCAAGTAGTACATATGTTTGAGAGGAAAATTTAGGTTTTCGTGATGTAAATTATGAAGAAAATTAGGAATCAAATTTCTTCTTCTTGAAAGTGAAACCAGTAAAAATGGCATTGAATTTTTAAATGCAACACATATTTTAGTTTTTCTATTCCACTAGTCATTAGCATCGCATATTTGGATTAATATTCCAAATTTCTGAGTCGAAATTTCACTTGATTTAGTTAACAAGCTTAGAATATTCATAGAATACTTTTCATCAAACCTGAGTGTTTTTGAGAATATCCATTAAATGATATGAAGTAGCTATAAAGTCTGTTCTGCACCAAAAAACTACTACCCTGATTGTATTGCTCGTTCACAGCAAAACATTTTCTTAGAGTATTATGAGAGCTGGGGACAGCGCCAAATATTTTTTGAGATACATTCAAACTACTCACAAGTAGGTAAATAATAATTTTGAAAGTTAGATGTTTTTCAGCTCAGGTATGCACTGTTATTAGCTTGTGACATGACTATGTGAGCACATGAAGAACAACTCATTCGGAAAAAGGCTAATAGGCCCTAAAACTGCTAACACTATTCGCCAGTGACTAAATACCAGTTTGGTCACCAATTATATGAATAAAACATTAGCAATACACTATATTTTCCATCACATTGGCGATACGCTATGACCCTGTATTTTGTTTGTATCATTTACTAATAAAATAGAGTTCTACACTTGGGAATGAAGAACAACCTTTTTATCATCCATGAATAAGTTAACCTCAGTGACTAAGGACCACAAAGTGGTTTTATTTTAACACGAATAGTTCATAGTTAACAATTTTCCATTATCTAAGTTGGTAATACTAGCTCAGTGGCCAGAAATATACAAGCTTTTGTTTAGTCCGGTAGGGAATCGTAGGCGAACATTGTTCAGTAATCCAAAATGAGGACAAAAATGTTGTCCAATGTGTCCTGGTCTTAAACGGTCACCAGTCCACGACGTAAACTATCAATCAAGCAATCTCCACAATCCTCTTCAACCCATACAAAACATTTTGTTGAAACAGTAATGCAAGTTATGATATCTTGTTTATTTATCAAATACTCTGAAAGAAACTCTTCATAATACACTATATCGTCATCAGCATATCAAATTGTATCTAGGTGATTATGAAAATGGTTAGAAATTTACAGCATTTTTACTTACCATATGTTTAACAGTTCAAAAAAAAACAAACTGATTTTCAAATAAACTTCCAATTGTTCCCCAATTCACGATATTGACGTTCAAAGTAAATTATTACCTGTGATCTCACCATCAAATTCGATTATGCTCCAAATTTAAACAATATAACTATAACTATAATAAAACTGATAAACAATTTGACTCAGATTGACAATAAAATTTTAACTGAAACTTCGCCCCAACAATAACTCGACTGAAATCATACTCAGGTGTTATGTGATTTGCAACAGAAAATGAATTTCATTTAAAGGGAAGCTTTAAACCATAAATGAATGAATGTAGGGTCAAAGGAACATTTCCATTCAAATTATTTTCACACCTTTTTTTGTTAGATCAAGTCTTTTATTGATTTAGTTACTATAACTAGTTACAGTATAACAATGAGCGCATTCCTCTGACCAAACATCAACTAACAAAAGGTGACAAACGAAGAGAAATAGTGAATAAATGACAAAACTCCCTATGAATGATGACTAGATATTGTGATGTGTATAAAATTCAGCATCATTTTATCACATGTATACGGACTACAGTGCTGAGGTGTAAAATTTCTAAGCAGAAATAGAGAAAAATTCACATACTCAACAACTGACCTATAACCAAATAATGCAGTGATTTATGTCTATGGTTATAATCTATGAAAGTGAAATATTTTTCAATTCGAAAAAGTAATAATAATAAATTGTTAATTTTAAACTTATTGTATCACATGACAATATCGTATTTTTTTAAAAAAAACATAACTCTATAACTCGAATGTCACGTAGGAAAACAAATAAGCTACATAAATGAACAGTTAA